CTTTTATAAATAAATTAATATAAATAAAATATTTTCATATAGAAATAATAAAAAAAAAAACTATACAAATATCTATAATTATACAATAAAACTTTTAGTAAATTAACCAATCGAAAAATGAAAAAGGCAAAAACATTGCAAATTTTGTAATTTAATATTAAACTTCGATAATCAATCAAACTCTAGAGAACTATAGCAAATTAACTAATCCAAATTAACTTGAAATAGATTTTTTTAATTGTCTAAAAACACTTGGCTAAGAAACTGTATTTATTTTTGGTATAATAATTAAATTTGAAGTAATTAAATGTAAACTTGACGCATAATTAATTACGAATTGAATTTTGTAAAAAGTTTTTTTTCCGTTCATCGCTTGATGAGAAAAAGTCCTTAAGGAATTTGTATCTTCTTTAAAAAAATTCTTAAGCAACGAAGTTACTTTTCTCCCCTCGACGATGAGAAGAGAAAATGTAATTCTTATATTTTTTTTTCCAGTCAGTCGTAAATCCATTTATTTTCAACAATGCAAAGAGAATTATACATTAAAGAATTCAATCCAATTCTGTTGAAAATAAATAATGAAAATTTCCGTTTCAATGCGAATGTAAATTTATTATGTACAGTTACGGGTCAATTTCGCGGACAACAAATGAAATATAATTGGTTATAAATAATTCGATGTAAACGTTAGTTGTCGTGAAACACGGAAAGTTGCGCTTTTAGATGGAATTTTGTGAAGGACGAATTGGCAGAATTGTGGAAGGAGCGTGCAAGGAAAGGTCGAACTCGTGAAGTCTTCTGGGACAAATAAAAAAAAATAGTTGAAAATAAATAAAACCGAGATCCTTCTAATGAAAGTGACCCAGATCGTTTGCAATTGTAGGCATTCATGCGAAATTCCTTAACTCAAAAATATTGATTTTTAATTTAAATTTTACTTGCTTTTAGTTTTGAAAATAATCAATTAAAAATTTAACGTAAATAAAACTTTTTTTTCAATTGAAATATGAATGGAAAAATTTACCAATTTTCTTTGGTTTTTAATAATTTTTAAATTATTATAAGTATTAATTTTGTTTTCATTATAAAATATGTTTGATATTTTACATATAAAAATCATATAAAGGGTGTCCCAAAATTAACGCAAGAATTAAAAAAAAATACAATTTTTAGTCAAATTATTTTCCCTTTATTCCCTTTATTTCAAAAATAGTTCTAGTGATCCTTATTTATCAGTATACAAATTGTGTTCCTTTCCGGGATTTGGGCCATACTGGTATAATTAATTTATGTTGGATTTGTCTCAAGTTTATTTGCGATTGTTCGTCTAAAAAACGTATTGTTGTTGTTTTTTTTGCAGGAAAGTAAAAGATTAGCCCATAACCTTTATTATCGTATACCTGTCTTTGTTTAACGCAAGACTCATACATTCGTTTTGGTACACTTGGAGCAGTTGAAAACTATATTAACCAGGCGCATCCACCAATTTACATTTCGTTCTATACATTTTTAGATATTTTAAAGTATTTTCTGATAAACACAAATGATTCAATTTTTTAAAATTATTGTATTTTTATGTTCTAAATTGTAAAGAAACTTATTTTTTTTTAATTTAAATATGATTCACGAATTTTTTTCACTTTTGAACGTATTCAAATATGATTATTTAAAAATCTTTATTTAAAAACTCGTTTTCTTTTTCAACATAATTATAAATTTGTCCTAAACAATGAATTTAGTTTTAAACTCGAATTTTTTTTTGGTTCACCTTCAACTGAATCATCGTTGATTTGGAATTGGTTTGACGCGACAAATATATAAAACACAGTAGTTTTCTAATCCATATAAAGATTGATTTAACATTCGCATAAAACCGAAATTCATTTTGACGTAGATCGGACGATTTCGGTAACAGAAACGCACCTGCATCTGACTCATCGTTACTTATCAGAACAGGTGTTTCTGTAACTATGGTACCAGGAACGAGTTTTCAACAATCTCCTAATGTATAATACTTACCAAACAAACATATAAAGGTTTCATTACTTTAATGCTGATTAAAATTTAACTAATATTGAAAACAGTTTGAAAATATCAAAACAATATAAGTTTAAAGTTCTCTATGAAAGTCCAATTAAAATGTTGATTAGATTTCACAGATTTTTTTTATCTTTGAAGATTTTAACGATTTTTATTAGTTAAATTTTAGTATTTTTTAAACAATTTTTTTTATTGTCCATTTTATTCACTCTTGTACTAGAATAAAAACATTCAGCAAATGATCAGATGGTTGACAAAATTTGAATTGGAGATCGCCCATTGGTGATTATCCTTTACTTATTGACTATTTTTTGAATCTCAAGGGTAGATCCAGTGACTTATGTCTCTTCAGTCGCCGTGTTGTTAGGCTATTGTCCAGAAGATTGACAGCTGTACGTTTGGATGTCTGTCTAGTCTATTTTGGTATCGGCTACTGTTTTTTGGAATTGATTCCTCTATTGTTTTCATTTGAAGGTCATGAATTCTCCTGTTCGTAATATACCATGATCCTTCTTAGGCTCTTCGACTGGAATTTTTGCATGGTTGCAATATTAGACTCCCCATAGCTGTATTCCATATGTCCAAACATGTTTTAAAATTACTTTATAAATCAGCAATTTATTTTCTTTCAAAATTGGCGAGTCTTCCCGTAACAGCAGTAGAATTTCCTGAACTTAATTTCGAGTTTTTCTCTTTCAGCTTGGATGTGATCATTCCAGGTCAATCTTCTATCTAGATGCATACCCATATATTTAACTTTATTAGCCGCCGGTATATTTTTAAACAATTAATGTTGATTATTTCATCTTACTAATTATGTCAATTATAAATTATGATTGTGTTTCTTCCTATATAATCTAAAGACTTGTTAATTCAAACTGCAGTGCATCTTAACTCGCAATACAAGATGATGAGTATTGAGTGGCAATCATCGTTCCATTCGATGCAGACGACAATCGAATTAATTCCCTCTTGCAAATATTGCACCATGAAGCAAATTATTCGTGTAATTGGATAGAACCAAAGTGCCAAATACCACTGATCCTCAATTAATTGTACTCAGGACGTCTAGTCTAGACACCTCTCGACGTACGCACAACCAAATTCAAATTAGTTTAGATTAAAGTTCGGATGCCATCACTCCACACCTCACCTCGAAAACGCGGTTTAATAATTTCAATTCAAATCTTCTCGAAAATCCAGCTGCATTTTTCAATTAACTTTTCATCTCCGTTTATTAAAGTTTTCCGAGCGTTCGTCGAATTTCCCATACACACATTCCTTAATTAATAAGCGCATGCTTTAGCGAAGTTTCGCTGCAATTTGTTTGCATGCGGAGAGTTTCGTGTAATTAGATAATTAACGCTTTGCAGCGTGTAAAGCACAAAAGATTTGAATGAAGCACTTTTGAAATTCTTTAATTCTAACGTATTTTTTTAATTACTCTAATTAGTCGAAAAATATTTCATTCTATAAACATAAGTTAAAAAATCTATAGTATAACAAGGAAATAAAATGATACACAAATATATTTAATGAACAAAATTAATGTTACAAAGAAGAAAAAAAGTAAAATGTTAAGTACAAAATTTGTTAAATTATTTCATCATTCATTCAAATATTTTTTATATAATTTTCAAATATAATTGATACTATAATTATTTTTAAATGAGGAACAAACTTTTTTCCGAAGTGCAGTCTAATTGGGGTATTTCCGTGCAGAACAAATACAGTAATTATAAAGTTCTGGTAATTACATCGGTTTTCATTAATTAAACTAATTCTAGGTAATTAAAACTATACGGACAATTTTACCGTTTATGTTTTCAACAAAGACTAATTTAAGATTTAATTTTTGAAAAAAAAATGTTAAAAATTAAATAATTCAACGAAGAACCAGAAAGAGAAATGTATTATTAATTACTAGAGAGTAATTCCTTATTCGAAAATAATGAAATTTACTACAAATAAGTAAATTTCTTAATAATTAATTAATTAAAAAAAAACTTGCATCTTGCTAAGAAAATACTAATTTCATAAATCATTCAGTAATATTCTTTAATGGAAATACTACTAAAAATTACTTGAAAATAAATTTAAATTCATGTAACAATTAATATCAAAATAGATGTTGCAGCTATTAAAAAAAGATATAAAAATAATCATCAAAAATTACAAACAAACCAATAAACTTTTAAAATCCACTAATCAGTTTAAATCTTTAAATACTTGCAGGTCTAAGTAGTTGGGTAAAATGTATAACTTATAACAAAGCTAACAATTAAATACAATAAATTTGTTAAAGTAAAATGTATTTTCGAAAGGATATTTTCTTAAGACACAAAAACTTTGAAAGTTGGTTTAACAAACTTTTTGGAGCAGAGCAATTTTTTAATTTTTTAACATTACAATTCAGATTCGGCAATCTGCGGCTCTTTTGATCTACACATATGAATGTGTGTAAATGTTTCTATTAATTGATTGTAAATAATAATATTGTTTATTGTAATTAATAAAAATAAATATAAAATAAAATTAATATTTGTAATTCGTTTCGTTTCTGTATTTTTTTTATATTTTTGCTATGAAACTGCGATTATCATGTTATTAAATTCCTGGATGCTGCAAATATGTGAGATGAAACCTGGAATACATCAATCTCGAAAACGTGTATTAAAAAATGCAAAATGTTAATCTAGAAATAGATGAAAAATCTTGCGTCAAGGAAATTATTAATAACCGAGAAGGTTCAATGACACGATTTCAATGTACGACGACGTTTAGAATGTAGACATGCATTATAAAATCATAGACTCGAGCAGAAAATTTGCATGCTTGAAACTAATTTATTCCATTAAAATCAACGATCGATTCCATACTAATTATTATGCATTTGGGGTACTTGAACTTAGATAAATGTTGCGGTCATCGTGTAAATATCTCGATTGTGTTCGCAGATTCCTTGCAATGAACAACGACACAGAAGATGGAAGTAACACCACTCTCTTCGTGGAAGCCCTTCCAGCGAACGAGAGGAACGAGGGTCTAGCTCGCATCGAGATTGCAACTTTAGCCATCATCTTCATAGTCACCATCCTCGGAAATGGCATCGTTTTGCTGGCCTTGTGGACGCGGAGACGTTACGCAGGTCGGAAGAAACTCTCGAGGATGTACTTCTTCATCCTGCATCTGAGCATAGCCGATCTGATAACGGCGTTCCTGAGTGTTCTTCCGCAGCTTTGCTGGGACGTGACGTTCCGGTTCCAAGGAGGTGAAGTTCTGTGCAAGTTGGTGAAGTTCGGGCAAACTTTAGGACCGTATTTGAGCTCTTACATCTTGATGGCTACGGCTATCGATAGACACCAGGCCATCTGTTATCCTCTGACGTACTGCTCCTGGACTTCGCGTCGATCTAGAGTCATGGTTTGGATCGCTTGGGTCCTCAGTCTGGCCTTCTGCATTCCTCAGGTAAAAATCCAATCAATCCGTGTCAATCGTCTTAATAGTCGACAAATTAATCATCTGCGAGGTTGAAGGATCGTCCTCGATCAATCATCTCGAAGCGATTGAATATTAGATCATATTTAACCCGGCGCATCCACCATTTCACCCTCCGTCACCTAAGAAAATATTGCACGTAAATTTCAACCTATATCACATTCAAAATTCAATTAAATCCTAACACAATCAAAGACTTACAAATTGTAATGCTTGTAATAGCCAGGAAAAGTACTACATTAAATATTGAACGAATTCTAAATGTTTGAATAAAGTTATGTTTTTCCTAACTCACTTTAAATATTGAATGAATTCCAAATTTTAGAACGTAATTGTAAAACGAAATGTATTCTAAATGAAAGCAATTTGAAACAATATTTTCATATTAAAAGAAGTCATTAAAATCAAAACTCGAATACTTTAATGTTTTATTCTTTACATTAATAATATTTATCAAAAAAAATGCTTATAAAGGACACAAAAAGGACAACAATATTGAAACTAAAAATAAGTAATTAAACCAAAAGCAAAATATTTTAAATCAATTTTGTGCTAATACACAAAACTGGTATAGTTTTCTATTAAAGTCTATTAAAATCTAAATAATTTCACTAATTACACAAAGGTAATGCAAAAAAATATAAAATAATGTTAAATTTTGATAGAATTTTGACTAAGATCAATGATTTTATAAATAGAAATTTTTGTAAGAGGCGAAAAAAAATCTTAACATTCTTTATAGGTATACAAGAAGGGTTTTTTTTCTGTGTCGAACACCTTGATAAATTGCTTTATGAACCCAAATCATTTCCCAATATCATCGTAATAAAAAAAGAGACTAAATACATGTTTTTGTTAACAAATTCTAAAATAAATACTCGATTAAAAATAAATTACTTACAATAAATTGTATAACTTCTAAAAAATAAGTCCACATTAAATATTGAAGATATTCTGAATTTTAAATATCAATGATTTATGAATGAGGAAGCTTGTAAAATATTTAAAAAATCTAAAAATAGCGAATGAGTGATGGATGAGCAGGGAAAAAGTCTCCGAGGGTCGAAATTCCTTGAGAAATTGCTTTTCGACTTTAAATAAAAAATGTCTTAGTTAAGAAATAATCTAATATATTCAATAATAACATTGTCTGGAAAATGAATCTTAACCCAAGCATTGTATAAAGATTGATACATGATGCGAATATATTCGTTATAAGCGTTATTCAATGCAAGTGACCATGACGAATATATACGACATAACCACTTAAGAGGTTAACGAAACCAAATACAGTGGAACCTCGTTTAACGAGCACCTTTCTTAACGAGTATTTCGCTTAACGAGCAAAATTATAGTAAGAAAATTGACTTGCTTAACGAGCAACGTTTCGCATAACGAGTGATGATGAGAAAGAATCCCGGATTGTGCGCCTTTAAAACTTGTGTACACATATTATGGAATCCGGAAATTTTGGAACGGATTAAATTCGTTAAACGAGGTTCCACTGTACTTGTAAATTGTCAACTAAAATATATAACCTTACAAAATGATGATATATTTCTTAAATATTATATAAATAAGTTTTAATATTAAGTACGTGAAAGCAAAATCCTTAAACTACGTTTTTTTTTTCTTTACAGTAAAATGATTTATTTCATTTATATAATTTGCTTGACTTTAATACTTTATATTTGAAGACTCAATGTTTTCATTAATTCAATTAAATATGTATGAATGAATGAAATGTAATTAAATGTATAGAAAAAAAAACTCAAATATTTAAATTATTTCCAATGAATGAACTTTATAATACATTTATTTATAATATGACATTAAAGCAATTACATTAATTAACGTTTTTATATATAATTAATCAATATGTGTTACATATGATGAATTTTATGCATATATTCAAATCAAATTATAATTACAGTTACTTTTATTTAAATAAAACGCATTAATTAATGAAAATACTACATAATTCAAATTTCTTCCATCTAATATAAATTAAATAGATTATTTCAAGTCAACAAATTATCAATATTTATAATTTATTATATTATAAATATATATTTTACTGTATAACAACAATCAAAGTAAACTTCAATATTTTACATATTCGCTGTTTACATACAATTTCCAATTAAAACAAAAGTTCAAACGGTTTCCATGTAATCCAACATCATACATATTCATTGCAATATTGTGTACAAAATAAATTTTACAGTAAAACTAAATTTATTTTAAATATTTTTATATAATAACTTTTTTATTTTTCAAGTCATTATAAATCAGCTAAAATGAATGTTTCATTAAAATGTAATTACATTTCAATTATGCATTTAACAATTTGTCAAGTGAAGACACATCAATCTTAGTTACAAATTGAAAGACGGTAATTTACATTTCCGAGTGAAAATTTCCAATTGTCTCGCATCTCGCCTCATTAATGAATGTTTAATTACGAGTTTCATTAATTTCAACTGATCCCCCTATCAATTCAATGAAATGACAGTGAAATTTCTATATCGAACTCGTGACACGTTAATAATTATATAATAAATATTGTATGTCTGAAATGTGAAGTACATGCACAGCATTTTCACGATGCGAAACGTTCGGATTTACTGAATCTAATCTGTTTGACCGACAGGATTTCCAATATTTATGCAGCACGTCCATCACTCACTCACCTTCCGTTACCCATGACCGGTATTTCCAAATCAAAATCATATATCTTCCGATTAGATACACATACATTCAGATATATCCATAGTTTATTTACAGTTGATTACAACTTAATTATACTTTTTTTAGTATTGTTTAAATTTGATCAATATTCTAAAAATACTTTGATTTTTAAGATTTTGTTTGAAAACTTTAAAATATTTTCATTTAATTAAAAAATGCGTTAAATTTCTATTAATATATCAAAAAGAAAGAAAACTTTCAAGTGATTTTTTCAATGATTTAATTTTTTTTATAATTATATGAAAATATATTTATTTGTATATAATTATACTTTTTAAATCATTAAATATCCATCAATATTTCAACAAAAAAACAACAAATTATTACTTATAACATTACTATAAAACTTTTATAAGTAAAAGTGTATCAACTTTGAATTTTAATTATTTTTTTTATTTATTATATTGAATATTTCACAATTCATATATGGATAAAACATTAAGTTTGAAAATAAATTTAAATAATTAAAAAAAATGGTATGTTCTCTTAATTATTCTTTGCAATTTTGAAATCTGTTAATTAATTATATAAATATTTGACTTCATTTGAGAAACTATTATATAGTAGAATGTCATGAGTTTGAAATAGATAAAAAGAAGTAAATAAAATAAAATATTATTACTTTGATGGATCGCAATTTAACTTATCCAAAGTTGGTTAAATAAGGGAAAAGTTTGATCGTGATTTAAGACAAATTGTTTCTCTCAACAAAGAGGAAAGTTTAATGCAATATTCGCTTTCATCAAATGCAAACAATTCAGGTTATTTTACTTAATTCAAGTTTGATCATCTATACCAGTGATTCCCAAAGTGGGCACTGAAGCGATCCTGGGAGGCGGTGATGGCCACAGGTGCGTTTAGGGGCGATGAATAACTGTAAGCATAAAAGCATAAAAGAAACAAGAGAAGATTTAGAAAAATTGATTTCCAGAGGGCGCTGAGTAATATTTTTTCTGGAAAGGGAGGCTGTAGGTCAAATAAGTTTAGGAACCACTGATCTATACGATTTGAATCCAGTTAACGAAATAGTAATAACATTTTTGTTTATTCCATATTTCTAAAAAATGCTTTTCAAGAGTTATTATTTAATAAATATTAAAAACAAAGATATATTGAAAAATCTTATTAAATTTATTGAATAATATATCAATAATACTTTAAAAGACGAAATAGGGTTTTGTGAGTTGTTTTTTCTTGCAAATGAAAGTGAAATTAAGCGAGAACTTTGCAAGAGAAATGGAAAATACCATTTAATAACATTTTTCTGTAATGAATATTACATTCTTTAACTTGTTATTAATTGCAATAATAATGAGATATAAATATACGTCGGGACATTTCCCGGGAAATAGAAATTCTCGAAGAATTTCAATTAAAAACAACTGTACAACTGACATACATTTATGTTACATCTCGCACGCACAGTGTGGTTACAACCGAACAATTCAGTCTGTGTTCAATTAGTAAAGTTCGCAAAGATCGTCAACAATAATTTTGTGGATCCGCTATAATTACGATCGTCGTCGTCGTCATTAAAAGCGGCGTTAAAATCGTTTAATTTTAACAATGGTTTTGAGAGCATGGTGTGATTGTTTGAGTGCGAAGGAAACAATGGATATAAAAAATTGGATTAATTAAGCGACGCCCGTTGCATTGTGTATGTGTGAAATGAAATTACATTGGAAGCCGCGAACGCAAAATACACCCCTTTGACGGATAATAAACTAAGGAATGCCATTAACTAGGGGGAGACGTTGGAAGTCTCACCGTCTCCTCCAAAATTCAACACTGTAAACAGTTTAATCCCAATTGAAGATTCTCCTTCGGGATTAAAACGTGAGTTTCACTCTCACTAGGATTAATAATAATGCTCGCAGTGTTGAATGCGAAATGTATAATTATATAAATTGGCATAATTCCATTTCCGAAACTCGGAGAATACGTTACTTTGCAAAAAAAAATGTTTATCTACAAAAGCTGTCGCGTCTTTTCGAGCGAATGATTGATGAGAGTTTAAAAGTTTGTTCGATCTGTTTTCCTTTCACGATGGATGCCATTTCCGGCAACTTTACTTTTACAATTCAGTTTTCTTTTGAAAAATTGCAATATTGTTGAAGCTTTTTGTATTCATTTCAAAAAATTAAATTGAGTTTATTAATACTCTGTGAAATTAATACACTGAAACATTCGTGACTTATTCAAAAATACAGAGGCGCGCAATCCCGGACTTCTCTTCTCATCGTCACTCGTTAAATGAGTCATTTTTCTTAGTATGCATTTTAGTCGTTATGCGAGGTGTTCGTTTGCGAGGTTTCAATGTATTTGAAAAAGAAAATATACAAAAACCAAATGTAATATTAACTATAAACAATAATTTATACTTTTTGTATCCTAATTTTTTATTACTTTTTATCGAATATAGAAATGTGTTAACATTTTCATATGAATTACAATTTATATCATATTAAAACGAGTAGAAAAAAACGTAGAAATTATATAAAAAATGAGAAAATTCGTCCCAAAAATCAATATTCTGTCTGTTAACTGGCTCAATTTCGTTAATTATTGTGTGTCTCCTCAGGAAAGGATTAATGACGAATATTGAAGTAATAGTAATAAATAATTAGATTTCATTTTCATAAACTAATACATGATTTACTTGATGAGTGTTGTAAGAAGTGTTTCGCAGATTGTTAATTAAATCTCAGGTGTTCAATTATAATACATGAGTTTACGCATGTGTCTATGCAGGTGTTCAATTATAATGCAGTTGTTAACGCAGGTGTTCAATAAAAATACAGGTTTTTACGCAGATGTTCAATTAAAACGCAGATATTTATGCAGGTGCTTATGCAGGTGTTTAATTAAAACGATATTGTCGTATGTGTTCATGTAATATTCCATAAAGGCACAATCAGTATTCATATATAATGCAGTATTCACGCAGATGTTCAATAAAAGTACAGGTTTTCACATAGATTTTTATGCAGGTGTTCAATTAAAAAGCAGATATTTATGCAGGTGTTCATGCAGGTGCTAATGCAGGTGTTCATGCAGGTGCTTATGCAGGTGTTTAATTAAAACGATATTGTCGAATGAGTTCATGTACTATTCCATAAAGACACAATCTTATTAATATCACATTTTATCCCGAAACTTTCCGATCTAAAACACGATTTTTCTTCTATAGTCACCATTATTTATACATAAATAATGTTTAGTCTCTTTTTGTGCGATGAATTTTATTATGTATGTAATTCCTCGATTAGTCCGGTTTCAAGAAGTCCGCGAATATTAGACTTATTTACAAAGATTGTTCATTGAAAGTGGTAATGTATCAGCATTAACATTAAGTAAAATACATGTTATATAATGAATATTTACGGAAACAGATGCATAAACTGTACTCACTCATACAAACGCTGTTGAACTCATGAAAGACCTAATTCCATACTCTATGGTTACACATCTTCGTAACACTCAGCATTCCGGTTATAAGCCAATCTGCATATTTGCTTTTGGTGCTGCACGCGGTTTTAATTACTCGGCTTCACTCCATTAGGAAAATGGAAAATTGGCCTCTGAAGCAGTGCGAACTAGGCGAATTATAATAGGATGAATTTCTTGTTTTTTGCAGATTACCATTTTCTCATATCAACACGTCGAGAACGAGGAGTACGACTGTTGGGCCACGTTCCTTCCTGCATGGGGAGAGAAAGCCTACGTAACGTGGTAAGTTATTAATTGCAATCCGTCCCAACATCCAACAGAACTCTCCTCCTTTTCTTTGCCAGCAATAAATTTTGGATACGCATCATCAATCTTCTTCATCCTGTAGTTACTTTAATTTTTTTCGTCCTTTTTTTCTTGAAGCTTTAAATTATCATTACGTAAGTGAATTAATTTAAAGCCCCGGAGTCAATTGCAGATTTGCGACGTTGCGACATTTTTAGCAATTTTTACAACTTTAAATATAATTTTCTAACTATTAGAAATACAGCAATACCTCGCATAGTGCGGATAATCTATTCTGTACTGTTTGAAACAAAAGACAAATGTTTTAGCTTATTTTTAAAACCGTACTTTAGTGAATCCGCACCGATCGAAGCCACATAAAACAACAAAAAATTTGTATATATTTGTATCTTACAAAATAAAAATTTCCATTAATAAAATCAATATTTACACTACTAAAATATAACACGTCTTTATTGCCGTCATCGAGTATTAAAATTACCAGAAATATCTACATATTTTTTCTACTCTGCACGTGATTCTCTCGTGCTCTCAATTATTATTTATAGACATGTATATTTATAAAAAAAATATATAATAATGTAAAATTATTATTTACACGAAAGGTGCACACCACAGTTTTTATTTGAACACGCATTGCGGATAATTTCAGCAACAAAAAGAGAGAAAAAACAATTAGTTTACATGAAGTAACATATTTTTTTAAATAATTACGTAAGACTTCAATCTATAATCTAAGACTTATTGTTTTTTTGGTGTCCTAAATTAAAACAAGCAGGATTTATTATATCTTTCTACTATAAAAACAATTATTATTCAACATTTTGTAAATGAGAGTAAATATAAAATTATAAAGTGTTTTATAATATAACTTGAAATTTTGGACAGAAATAGTCTCTTTTTGTCCGGTTTCAAACAATCCGGCGGAAACCATTACCCGCACTATATGAAGTTTTGATGTATTCTAAATTTGATGATAGTTATATAAGTCTTTCATGAATGAATTATTATGTGAAAAGGAGAGAAAATTAAAGTGCAAAAAAAAACTAATTAAGCAAAATAAATTCTAAAAAATTTGTACACAAAATTGGTATTTTTCTCTTTATACACTTAAGTCTCTTTTTGGTCGGTTTCAAATAGTCCGACAGAAACAATTACCCGCACTATTTGAGGTATTTATATAATCATAAAGTGTACCTTTTGATAATAGTTTTGTGTTTTTCATAAACGAATGTTTATGTGAAAAAGAGAGAAAATTGATGAAAAATGTGAAATAGAGAGATTGGTCTCTTTTTGTGCGGTTCAATTCTATTTTATTTAGTTCCTCGATTAATCTGGTTTCAAACAGTCCGGGTGAACCGATTATCCGCTTTTTTTGAGGTATTGATGTACTCAAAATGTGTACCATTTCCCAATAGTTATGAGTCTTTCATGAATGAATGTTTACGTGAAAAGGAGAAAAATATTATAAAAAAAAGTGAAATAAAGAAATTGGTCTCTTTTTGTGCGGTTTAATTCTATTTTATTTAGTTCCTCGATTAATCTGTTTTTAAACAGTCCGGCTGAACCGATTATCCGCATTATTTGAGATACTGATGTACTTAAAATGTGTACCATTTCCTAATAGTTATGAGTCTTTCATGAATGAATGTTTACGTGAAAAGGAGAAAAAAAATATAAAAAAAATGTGAAATAATGAGATTGGTCTCTTTTTGTGCGGTTTATGTAAAATCCATATAGATATATGAAAATTGATCCGTTTTTATTATACGATTTAAGCATATAATTTTACCAAAAAGTACCACATTTCATTGAAAATATTGCTGAAATTTAATAATTTTAATGTGTTTTAATAGAAATCCATTTTTTTTAATTTTAACTGTTTAAATAACAATGTGTTAAACCATTAAATTACAACATTAACAAGTGTATTTTATAAAAGGAAACTTCAGTTAATACTTATTATTATATATTGAGTTTTATTTGCAAATGAACAAAAATTGTTCATATTTGTACCAAAAAAAATGTACTATAAAACAACTATAAGTAATACATATATATTTCTTAATAATAATTGAATAAAAATGAACTTACATTGATTTCAATATTAAATTTGGAAACTCTACTAAAATGTAATGATATCAATAATGAAAATATGGATTGATTTCAATTTTGCATTTCTATTTGAAATTGTCATATCAGTAAATGCAATTTGATACAGGAACGTAAACTAAACATGATTAGCTCTGTGTATTGGTATGATAATTAGAATTGAATTTTGCATGTGCAGGTATGGAATTTCCGTGTTCATCATCCCATTAGTCGTCCTGATAGTAACGTACAGCTGCATCTGTCGAGAGATATGGCACAGCGCCGTCGGCGAATTGGGAATGCGACCACGAAATGTGCAGACAGGAAACGGAAAAAGCCAGCAAACCGGAAAACGTGCCCCCCTCATATCTCGAGCGAAAATAAACACGGTGAAACAGACGATCGCCGTAATCGTAATGCACATTGTCTGCTCGACTCCCTTCATATCCGGTCAACTCTGGGCCACCTGGGATCCGGAAGCGGTGAACAGTCCGTTCCTCAATGGTAAGTAAAGAAATTCAACCATAAAATTCAATTTTCTTCCAACATAATGAAACTATCAAATTGCTTCGTCTACAATTAGATTCTGCTAAAAAAAAAATAATGCAGAAAATAGGACAGTTTTAAAAGGTACAGATAAAATCCGGGTGAGTGAATCGATTTAATGGAAAGCCAATTTCCTAGTATAAACAAGCGGTGCTTTTTGGAAAGCCATTAAATTTACATTAAGTTTGTTGCTTTTACGTCAAAAAAAAATCCGTTTCGTGTGTTCATGTGTGTCTTTTTGCCGTTAAATTTCGTTTGCGTGATGTCTGATTTTATATGCACTGTTGGTCCATTATTATCCATTACTTATTGAGGGTGGATTTGTGTGGGTGGATTCCGTGGACAGGGCAAAAAATGATCGTTAACCCGGTTAATTGAGACATATTCCTTTCAGACGTAGAATGGAAGCAAGGAGTATTATTTTCCATCAGACAGTATTTAAATTTAATGCGATACTTCGTTGATTGGATTTTTTTCTGTGATCGGGTGGATTCGCCGGGACAACAAAAAGTATTTTGACATGTCACTTGTACTTTTAATTTAAGATCAATAATATGCGAAGACTATCTTTGTTTGGATACATTCTATCTATTGTTCTAGCATTTTTGAACGTGAAGTACATCCAAATGGACAGAATCATAGCAATGTTTGAATACACGTTGAATTCCCTAAATATCTACATCATATATGCATCATTTAGATAAATTATATCTATTATAGTTTATACGAAAATCGCTAAAATGTCAAGACACTACTTTTTCGAGCATTATTTTTCAATATTTCATCAATTATGATCAGCCAAAAGAACAAAACCACAGCAATGTTTAAATACACGTTGAATTCCCGAAATATCTGCCTTGTATATGCATTCTTTGGATACATGCTATCTATTATAATTTATAAAAAAATCGCTAAAATGTTAAGACACTACTTTTTCGAGCATTCTTTTTCAATATTTCATTTTTGAACTTGAATTACATCCAAATGGACAAAACCACAGCAATGTTTGAATACACATTGAATTCCCCAAATATCTACATTATATATGCATCATTTAGATACATTATATCTATTATAGTTTTTAAGAAAATCGCTAAAGTGTGAAAACACTACTTTTTCGAGCGTTAATTTTTCAATACTTCGTTTTTGAACTTGAATTACATTCAAATGGACAAAACCGCACCAATGTTTGAATACACATTGAATTCCCCAAATATCTACATTATATATGCATAATTTAGATACATTATATCTATTATAGTTTATAAGAAAATCGCTAAAATGTGAAGACACTACTTTTTCGAGCATTAATTTTTCAATACTTAATTTTTGAACGCAAATTACATCCAAATGAACAAAACCGCAACAATGTTTGAATACACGTTGACTTCCCCAAATATATACCTTGCAAATGCATCATTTGGATACATTCTATCTATTATAGTTTATAAGAAAATCGCTAAAATGTGAAGACACTACATATTTTTTCAATACTTCATTTTTGAACGCAAATTACATCCAAATGAACAAAACCGCAACAATGTTTGAATACACGTTGACTTCCCCAAATATATACCTTGCAAATGCATCATTTAGATACATTCTATTTATTACATTTTATAAGAAAATCGCTAAAATGTGAAGACACTACATAATTTTTCAATACTTCATTTTTAAACGCAAATTACATCCAAATGAACAAAACATAGCAATGTTTGAATACACGTTTGCATTAATTCTATCCATTTTCGAGCGCTAATTTTTCATTACTTCGACCTTCAACCGCAGCAATATTCAAGATTCAAATTAAACATATTAAAATAATATAAAATAATATATAATAATATAAAAAAATATATGTGGAAATATAAAAGTAAATAGACTTATTTGATCCTTTTTAATTACTCTAAAGCGATTTAGTATCCTATCAAATTTTAACGCTCTTCGCGTAGAATTTAATGAGCTGTAAACTAGATTTACATCGCGAATTAAAAACGGGAGCCGCACGTAAAAGAGATTTATTTTTATTTATTTTTAATTGCTATTTTCTTTTACATAATTTATGTAAAGTTTCAGATAATTCATTAAAATATGGTTTAATTTTAGCCTGAATTGCAATAAGTTGATGAAAATGGTTTTATTTTACATGATTTATTGCGTTAAATGCAAAAAAATACTAACTAAAAATATTAAATTTAGTATTACCGTGTAATTTGTACTTTTATCTTGTTTAAACTACAAAAATTATTAAACAGACATTGAAATTGAACACACAGAGATTGATTGATTGTGTGAACTTTCATAATTGTAATTTTTTTTTTCAATAAAAATCTTGAAATTATTTATGTTGAAATAAATTAAAAATTTCATAAAAAAAAATGCTTCTAAAAGCAAGCAAGTGGCCAATAAAAAAAAACGTATATTTATCCAATTAAATTTTAATGGTAGAACGGCTGCAGCACGCGATTAAACGGCGAAATTAAGGTTCAAGTGAAATTTATTTTGAGAATTAGGCAAAATTAAATAAGGGCGGACAGAAATTGGGCGTTCGATAACTCCTTAGAAGTAAACCGTAAAATTATAATAGTAATAATAATGAAAAGAAGCTGTTTCCGTATGCACTTCCGCTCAACGAGCTCACTTAATTTGAATACTTTTACAATAAATTAGAGAATATCTCGGTGCTCGTAGAGCTCCAAGTGATTTACTGCTTACAATGTTAAAGGAAACTCTCGTATGTTTTTACAATACACAACGATTTCGTTTCACAAATAAAACCTAGTATAAATAATGTTTATTTTATTCATTGAAGTTCTTCAATTCATGAAATTCGTTTCGAAATAGTAGAAAATTTGTCATTATTATAGTATAATACGAGAAGTATTTTTAATTTATTATGGTTTTTATATTTATAGTTTCAACATGAATTTGAACCATCTAAATATACACAAGAGTATAGAGAATGATAGAGTATTATAACTATATATATAATTGTGATTTATATGGTTTTCTTGTAATTAATTGTCGGAATAGAAATTATTACATTTCATGTATGTATCAAAAACTATTTGCAAAGTTTTCAAAAATTATGAAAAAATCAAATGAATATGTGTATTAAAACTGAAAGCATAGATATTAAATTACTATTAAACTGATTTTTGAAAGAAACTGTTGAATTTGATAAAAAAATAAATATTAGCAAATTTTTCGACAATTGTAAAAAAATGTTTGTACGTTAAAAACTAAGACCACAAATAATACAATTCTTGTAAAATAAATATAGTTGTATTAATGGTTTTCTTGTAATTAACTGAAAAATTTAATATTAAAACTTAGAGCTAAAAAAATAATTAACTGTAAAATTTTAAACATTTTTTTTTATATTTTAGCATTATTAATGCAGTAACTATATTTTTTGATTTACTCGAAAACTACGAAATATTTATTTGAATATATTTTTTTAAATTCATACTGAGAGTATGGATTATAAAATGATTTTTCAATGAAAATTTAAATATGTAAATTTTATACAATTTCTCTAATTTTGTAGAAATTTCTTAAAAAATATGAGTTTTATATTAATAAATTAAAAAAAACTAAACAAATATAAAAATAATTGTAATTAAATGTTTTTATCCTGATTAAATTGATACTTATGAATTTTCTCAATATTTTCTCTTAAAAATATTGATGAAAAACTGTCTTACATTTTAGCGTATTTCTTGAAAACCACGAAAGTTTTGTATAAAAATGAATGTTCTAATTAAACCTAAGACCATTCAGAATTAAATGCTTGTTTATTGAAAATAGTACTACATGTGGTTTTCTTGTAATGAATTGGAAAAAATTAACCAAAAAAAATCGAAAATTCAATATATGTGTTAAATGTAAGCTAAAACTATTAATATTGAAGTTGTTACACAATCTCATTATTTTTAACATTTTTTTTTTGTCTAAAATAAGAGATAAACTGAAGTATATATTTTTTTCTCAATTTTTATTTTAGAGCTGAAATTTTCAAACTAGCAAGTATAATAACTTCACTCAGAAACTTGTAATATTATCTCAGTTTCGTTATATAATAAAGTTTCATAATGGTTTTATTAAAGTAGACTAGACTATTTACGTTTAAAATTATTACCTAAATGTTTCATATAGCAAAAGGTACAGGCAGCTCCCTAACATTATGATCTAGTTTCGCGCAGTCGAGGACTTTTATTGTTTCAGTTTATAGTCTGCTTCTGTTTATTGCAGTTACATATTCAAATCTGAAGTATCTCGTTCATAAAAAAAATAACTAGAAATATAAAAAATGAGACATTGAGATTAAGGTCTTTGATGCGTGTAATTTTCACTTTTTGTCTTTTCATTTGCATTCAATTCATGTATTTTCTTTTACTGTGATATCTCTATGTAATACGAGTCGATGCGTGTCTATGATCGTAACACGATCTACTTATCGTCTACGAATGGCAAAACCATCGTCAACTGAACGCAACGGGAGAAAACAATTTATTTGAATTCCTTAATACCGTCAAGGCCATCATACTCGGATCGATTACTCACCTCTTCCGATGGAAAAAGGGAAAGGAAAAGCGAGTGAGTGAAATGTTATTCACAGCGTTGGGATTTACATTGTCGGCTTTTCTCTCCATCATCTTTTTTTGTATATAAGTTTCCTTTTCCATCAGATTTCCGCCCACCCTTCTCACTGCAGTTTGTCAGATGGTTGGCACGTGTTTCCCTATACGAACTGGAAATGATTAAAGAGTGACTTGAGGGAAAAGTATTATTTTCTATTGCATCACATTGAAATAACGAAAAATACATAAAAATTGAATATTTAAATGAATACAAATAGAAGTAAAAAAAAACAAATAATTCTACTGAAATATATAAAACAGTTGACGTTTTTGTCAGCGTTGTTGCGGACAAATAAATAAAACACAAATATGGGTCAAAATGACCCGATCATTAAATATTCAAAAAAATAAAACAAATTATTAATTTTTACAACAAACACAGATTAATTCTTCATATTTAGTGAATTTAACATAATTTGGGCAATTTTTTTTTCTCGCTCTTGTTAGGACAAAAAAGAAAATTTCATTCTTTTCTATGTAGGAATCAGTTTATAGGTTGTGTTTCAACAGGAAATTTAATCAGGCACTATATTTGCAATCAGAATTCTGAGATTTCTGGGAATCTTTTGGTTGCACATTCATATATCATGCATATTCCACTTTGAAATCCAAATATTGATGATATTTCAAGAAAGTTTTTGTTTGACCCGAAATAGACTCTACAACAAAATACAAATATTGTATGTATATTTGGGTTTTACATTTGAATCAGAAATTACAAAAAAATAGTTGATCTTTTAAGTTTTTGTAAAATTTGAAAATAAATAAATTTTGTTATGTAAAATACTTCTAGTTTATGTACATTTTTCAATTCTTGCAGACTGCAACATGTAAGATTCTACAACAATAAAATATGAAACTATTAAATAAATCATGATATTAACAATGAACTATCTGAAGATATTTAAATTACTTTTTTTTATTTATTGGTAATCGATTTACGTATGCAATTTAAATGTAAAATAGTAAAAATTACTTTACAATGCTCAAGGAAGAATCTTGAACTTTTATATAACGCATTTTACGACAGTCGTCTCGTGTGTTTTCCAATATTTATCCCCGAGGAACATAAGACTCTTGAATGCTTTATTTTTACCTTCTCCTTTTATGAATTTTTCACGATTGCGGCTTTTTACTTGTTACAAGTCTCGAAACAGTGATCGAAATCAAATATTTATACAGAATAGTATACCATCATTGATTCTTCAATATTTAATGCAAAATCAATATTTTGATAAACGGACTGTTTGAAACCGGATTAATCGGGAAAAATACTTTAACGTATTATTACCTTTATCAAACGATTAAAAATAATTTCATGTATTGTTATTTTGCTTAAGTAAAATTTAGAATGTTTTGAAATGTTCATACATTAATCCGGACTGATCAAAACCGCACTTTGCTGTATAAATATTTAGTGTTATATAAAGCAGTTTTTTACTGAAGAATCATGAAGGATTAGTTGAAATGTTTATTGCTGAAAATAGATTCTAGCAGGTTTTTTTAATATTTGTTTATTAAAAAAATCGCTTTTACTTATAATTTTACAATTTATTAATAACTAAAATAAATATTTTACTAACACTTTCGAAATATTTAAACTTTTTTGTTTGTTTTTGAATAAATAACGATTCGAATGCGAATAGATAATTTACAATCGGCGCGAAAAGATTTATCGTTCTGTTGTTAAACGAAAATTTATGGTTTGTTGTTGAACATCCTTTCTTCCTTCCATTCTCTAGTCCTTTCAAATGATCTCTCCTATCTCACTGTTATACTCGATCATTGGGATTTCAACAAAATCCACTACGTGACATCACCTTCCTAACAAAGCAACTGTCAAAGAGTCAAAGCCTCCCGTTTCCGGTTCACGAAAAGGCCACAACCTTGGATGATTACAAATTAAGTTCACATCCTGTAAAATTTGTTGGAAAATTCACGACTTCAATTCTTCGACTTTATTAATTACGACCCTCACTAATTGGTCTCCGTCTTAATTGAGTTAATATACTATGCAGGATCGCTCCCGAAGTTATAATTTACGGACGTAACGCTTCCGCGGATCGCTTTATACACTTATTATTAAAGGGGATTATTCGACACGGATTAAATTGGTTTTAGAATGTCATAAATGTTAAATGAGGCTAGCTAATGAAAGAAAGAAAAAAAAAGTGTTTTATATTCTAAATTCAGATTCTTTGCGTTACAGTGAAAGAGAAAAGTTTAGTTAATTGATGAATCTATATAATAATTTAGTTAATAATAATTTAGTTAGTCAGTGGTAAGTAAGTAAATATTTTGCTTCATTACTTTAACGAAGTTTTAATATTCTTTGTATTTAACACTTTGCGGTCGATTGGCGGATATATCCGACCCAGCCTTTATGTTATCAAATATGACATCAAACTTAATTTAATTATTGATACCATTTTTAACAATTTGTGTACAGCATTAACTTAAGGCTTCCTACAGTCCGGATTCACTATAATTTGGTTTGAACATTTCAAAGTAAACTAAAAGTAAATCCGAAGTATCTAACGTTGAATATAAACATTAAGAATATAGTATAAGAAATATAGAAAAAGAAGTGGGTTTTCCCTTAAATCACTTTTCTCTCAATATAGTCCAATAAAAGTTTCAAGTGGAAGAAGGCCTACAAGTAATAAAACATGAATTCGATACAGAATTCCCTTGCTTTATTATCGGTCACGATTCTCTCAGTTTCAAAATAAAATAAACTTTCCACATCGATAAAGTTGTTCAAAGCGCGTCCGAATTGCATCAAAATCGCATCAACCATGTAGCTAAGAATTAACTTTTCAAATTTCCCGCGAATATTGTTGCATCATTTTCTTTATATACATTACAAATTATTTTCCGCTACTTCTAACCAACCAACCAATTCAAATCAATCTTATCGTTTTGAATATTCGACGAGTTTAAAAAGCTCGAATCTAAATTGGGAATTGCTTTACCGTTTCGCTGTGCAAAATCGATTGAAAGCGTTATGAAACCGAACAATAAAACAATTTACGTCATCTCGAGACAACCCACCCTAATGGAGCGTCCTTTCCGGGTTAAGAAAAGGCAATTCTGTTGCTCGAAACAAAAGGAAATTCTCATTCCCCCTTCTTCAAGATAAGCTCAAAAAAATTCACTTTCCATTCGCGCAAGGAAACCGACATGAAAAACAATGCGAAATTCAAATTGGAAAAACAAAAGCTTTTGCTTGTACAAAGAAATTTCAATTATATCGTCAAATCAATAAAATTCGATATCAGTAATTAAAATTTATTTTTTTTGTGTGTTTTCCTTACGCAAGCGAAAATAACGAAACAAATAAATGTTTACAGTAAATTTTTCGTTTATTAAAATAAATATTGTGAGGAAATTAATGAAAACGAAGTGGGTTTGAGCAAAAAAAAAATACGTTATAAATCTTTAAATTAAAATTCTCGTGAGGCTGAAAATTCGTTTGGATTAAAATGTTTCAGAGGTAATTAAATGTTCGTTTTTCCCTACTTATATTTAGTAAATTATTTATTTTAACTTCTTTGAACAGTAATGTTTGATGATTTTTTCCATTCGTTCACATGATTTCCTATTTATACTTAATTATATAACAAAATAAAGTATATATTTAATCTTCTTTGATTGAAGCTCAAAGAATTTCATTAATTTTATATACTCAACGTGGGTATAAAAGGCACAAGTACTTGTACAAGTTGTCAACTACATACACAATGCTAGTTACTCGACAACGGCAACGCATTTCTAACAAACAAAACAGACAAAATTTAATAAACTTTGAATTTTCTTCCTCAATTCATCAAGCGCTCAAATTGTGAAAATTTTCAATAATTTTGATTCACTCAAAAATAAAATATATCTTTGAATTGAATTATTATAGATTTTACCTGAAATTTATCCTGAAACGAAATGATAACCGTTACAGTTTTTGCGTAATCATGTAAAGCTTATGCATGAATCAACGCAATTTCCAATCGGTACAAAACGAGATAAATTGTAAACAATTTGTTTTATCGTCGGTGCATGTAATTCAAACTAGAAAAATATGTACGTTTATTCACCTGACGCAACGCAAATATTTACAACCCAATCAGATGATATTCTGTAGAGCGTAAATCAATTTTATCACGTTAATCAAATTCAGTGAGCTTATGATAATATTCCATGTAGTTAAAACAAAAATATTGTCGTAAACGAACCGAAAATCGATGCAGATTGAAATTTTTGTTGCAATAACATTGCTTGTATGGATTGTGTCTAATGAGTTTCTTTCTTTAGGTCCTGTATTCACGATAGTGTCGTTACTGTACAGCTTAAACAGCTGTTTCAATCCTTGGATTTACTTGGCCTTTAATAGAGAGTTACCAAGGTTACTCATCAGGCATTACACCAGCAACAGGAATTACAGAGAGGCAGCAGGTAAATTGCACAAGGACTTCTATATTTGTTTCGCTTTTGCATCCTTATATTAGCAATGATTCATATTTTTTTTTGCTTCAAATGCAACCAACTTTGATGAGACGTAAATTTGTTTGCATATATACACCTTGTGATTACAGCAGCATCATATAACCGGTGGCAATCGCAAGCCTGACAACCGAAATCCCGTCTATCGAAATCCCGATAACCGAAATCCCGACTGGCTCAAAATCCCGACGTTCGAAATCCCGACAGTGTCTTTTATTATTATAAATTTCTACAATAACATTTTTATGGTAGTCGGGATTTTGATTGTCGGGATTATGGTAGTCGGGATTTAAATATAGTCGGGATTTTGATTGTCGGGATTATGGTAGCATTTTGATATGAAAACAACAGAAACAAAATGACAGGAACTCTTGCTTTTATGACACCTTGTAAATACATATAATTATTTTCAACTTATTTAAAAAAAAAACTTAGAATTGATTAATAATGTTTATTAATTAATTAAATTTTGCAATTCGTCTATTTTTTATTTTAATACAGCCGGGAGTTCGAACGTCGGGATTTCGATACAGTCGGGATTTAGAACGTCGGGATTTCAATAGACGGTCTTTCGGTTGTCGGGCTTGCGGTATAGACCCTATATAACATAATTTTGGAATGGCCATGACCTTATGATTTAACTACTACAAACCTACAAAAATAAATTACTTATATTACTTTATTAGCAAGATTTAAAAAAGTTACAATATTTCTTAAATTACAAAAAGCTTTAAAATAAATAATTTCATATTTCAAAGAGATTTATCTGTCTTTTTACTTTGTAGTCTCAATTATGAGTGACAGATAAATGACAGTTATATAAAATGTACAAATTCATGTAAAATGTAAATTAAATATACAAACATTAATATTTAGATTAATTTCGTTAATTTCGTTTTTCTCACAATATTAATAAACGATTTTATTTTTTTACACTTTTTGATAAACATAACAAATCTGTGACAGACGTGTGACAGACATATGACAGTCGTGTGACAGATGTGTGACAGACGTAAAAATGCAACTAAAATAACTGTATTGTATTGGTTTTCTTTAAGTTTGTAAGTAAATATTTTGATTTTGACATGAAAACAACAGGAACAAAATGATGCATATAATTATTTTCAATTTATTTAAAAAAAAAACTTAGAATTGATTAATAATGTTTATTAATTAATTAAATTTTGCAATTCGTGAAATTGGTTGAATATGTTATTATTATTTATTTTATTAATTCATGTAATATTCATTCGAATATATTGAAAATATGTAACATCAGTTAATAAGTTCCAAAAAAAAAATGTTGAAAGGTCAAATATTAATAATTAAAACCAAATCTGCCCAGCTGCGACTTTTAATAATGAAATTTTTCATTTGTTTTAATGGCGAACGTTGTATAATATCGAGGGAATTATGAATTTGATCACGTCTACTGCATCGAACCGTTTCGATTTATGTGATTAATACAAGCAAATAGACGGGTTTTGATTTAAAGCACGCCGCTTAATTATTCCATTGTTTCGGGTGATACGATTTTTGCGCATGACCGTTCACAGACAATACGCAATATGCAAATGCTTTGTAGGCGTACAAAAGCCATTGTATAATGCTTGTATTTAAGAAAAGGAAACTGAAAAACATTACTTATAATGATAACAGTTACTTAGAGCGTGTAATGTATTTAGATTTATGCGGGTTAATAGTTCACCCTATTCTGAGCAGGAACGATAACGCCCTTAACTATACAAAAGAAATATGTTTAAAAAAAAATGGATATATATATTTGCATCATCAATCATCGAGATTTATCGCGAGATGAGTGAGCTTCACACACGCATCCTTTCAATAATAATGATAATCGTAATACTTCATCTCATTTCCTTCAATCACTTTCATCGTCATTTTATGAATTTGATTTTAGTAGTTCATTTTTTTGGAATTTTAATCGAAGCGACATTTTCGCTTAAAAAGAACTATTTTCCATATGATTATTAGTCCAGGATTTCCTTTAATCTCCTTCGTCATCTTCTTATATACTAGATTTTAGTTTCAATGATTTTTGAAGTCCTTAATCCTGAAGTTTCTTCAATCTCCTTCATTTTCATGTAATGTGACAGATGTGTGACAGACATATGACAGTCGTATGACACATGTGTGACAGACGTGAAAATCATCTTATATACTAGATTTTAGTTTCAATGATTTTTGAAGTCCTTAATCCTGAAGTTTCTTCAATTCATTTTAATGTAATGTGACAGATGTGTGACAGATATATGACAGATGTGTGACAAACATATGACAGTCGTGTGACAAATATATGACAGACGTGAAAATTATCTTATATACTAGATTTTAGTTTCAATGATTTTTGAAATCCTTAATCCTGAAGTTTCTTCAATCTCCTTCAGTTTAATGTTATTTTTATTTAATTTTCTTCAGTTTCCAAGTTTTACTATTATTCTGTACTTTTCCTGATTTTCATTGACGTATTTTTAATTTAGTAAAAATGTTTGGAATTCCTTCAAACTCTTTCACCAGAATTTCTTCCATTTTTATTCCCTTGCTGCAATTCATTCAATGTGTTTCATTTAGAGACCATTTAGATGTTATTAGTTGTTGTTGTTTTTTTCACAAATTCCTGAATTTCGAATCAATATTTCCGTTTTATCAATATATTTCCCATTTAAGTAAAATGTCTGGCCAAATTTTCTCGCACGCCGTTTGTCTTCCTAACTTTTCCTTTTCCTCGACGACTTTAAAGTTTTCCCAGGCAATAAACGTTATTTATTAGCTGCGGTTGTGTACACCTTTTTTTCTTCTCTCTCTCGTTTCTTCTTCATCTTGCGGATGAGAGCCACATAAATTTTGTTCATGAATAAAGAAAATGAATTATATCTGCGCATGAAAAAATGTCAGTTTTTTTTTATAAGAAATTGTCGCACAATTTCAATGAAGTTTAGTATTTAGTACGAAATTAATTACAACACAAAAGCTTATTTTCATTATAGATTTTTTAAATGTTGATGGATCATAAAATAGAAGACTGTTTGTAAATATGAGCTTTGGAAGAAATAATTTTGTTGAATGTCAAAAATTAGTGATTTTACTTTGCATTTTTATTTAAATTATGAAAAACAGGAAAATGACAGTTTTACTACTAAATTTGTAAAATCATGTAAAATTTTGTATTTTCCTTCAATAATTTCAATGATTGTAAACTGGAAATTCAATACTTAAATGTTATTAATATCGATTCTAATATTTCTAATAATACTTCAAATATTACTGATTTTATTTTGAATTTTTGAAAAATTATGAAAGATTTCTGACAAATGTATGTGACTGACAATGACAGATTAAATACTAATTGTAGTAAATTCATACCAATTGAAAATCGAATATTAAATGTTATTATTACATCATATCATAAAGTTGACAGTTTTGTATGACAGATAATTGACAGTTAAATTTGTAAATTGACAGTTGACAGTTTTGTATGACAGATAATTGACAGTTAAATTTATAAATTGACAATTGACAGTTTTGTATGACACGTTAAATACTAATTTTTAAATTCATCTAAAATTACTATAATAAATACAAAAATAGTTGTAAATTAAAATAATAAGGTTTTTTATGATTGTGTGTCATAATTATATTTAAATATGTAAGAAAATTAATAAATTTACGGTAAAAATTGTATAGAATTACAAGAATTGATTATAAATTATTAAATTTAGGAGAAGTCTTTCAAATAAGCCAATAAAAAAAGCTCCTCCGACAATAATGAAAAAACTACATTATGTGGATAAGTGTTTCGCGAGTGAACGAAGAAGCTCGTATAGAGATAAATAAGTTAAAGGTAGAAAAGAAGTCAGAGGCATATGCGTATTGTAAATGTTGAGACCTCGTTTTCATCTTCTTTTCTACTTTTTTCCTCTGTTGTTCATCAATCACATTTGTGCATTCAATCAGAAACGGGATCTGTTGCTCTCAGTCTCCTTTCACCAAGGATGAAAACGCAGAATGTCGAAGGAAACGTCGGACAGAAGAATCCTTTAGTCTCGTTAAATCTACTTAAGCTCGCGGCGATGAAATGAAAATCGATTGAATGAAAGATGGTCTCGTTTTTCTGCACCACTTGTCCAATAAATACCGAAATCCGACGCTTTTTCGGAAGGGAATTTATGTGTGCAACGTATCGGCGTTTAAATAAATTTAGCATCAAAATTGCAGCACGGAAATTGGACGTATTTAATATTTATACAAGGAAGTTGGATGCAATCTCTCGTGCAGAAAACGTTGTTACATTTATCAGATGCGAATGTTTGTAAGTGAATTCACTTTATTCTTCTCTTGCTAGCTGACGTTTCTTTCTATTTGCATTTTTCATCCTGGATGTTTACTTTTTTCGCGTTGTTTGCGAAATAATAAGTTTGGTGGAGGTAATTTGCAATTCTAGTTCGCCGCAAGTTTAAACAACGCTCTTACCGTGCAAATCCACAGGCAATTCCAAGAATCCTTAAGTATAAACGTAAATCCAAGGCGGAAAATTTATACAAATAAAATTACCGCTCATTTAGAATGAAAATGCATCGATTTCGTTATTATTCCATTCAAAACATTGAATAATTAATATTATTACCTATGGAAACCTCTTCCAGGAATTTCATTTCCTTTTACATAATTCGCGTTTTGTATTTATATATTTTTTCCACCCTAAGCTTCTCTCCTTTTATGTAAAACAATGAAAACGTAGCGTTTCAGGAACTAATTTGCAATTCCAGTTTTCCATATTCCATCACTTCAACATAACTTCTTATGCTAAGCACTTACAAATCTGGTGAATTTCTTCTTAAAATCTAATTTATAAATATACAATCATAGCTAATATAAATATTGTATCCATGGAATCCAACAGTTATTGAAATGGCAGCTACTTTTTTGGTTAAACTTACAGAAATTATAACTAAAAAATGTCATTATTTGTTATTTTTGACTAATACCTGTCACTTCATGATAACCGAAAACTACCAACCTATTGTATTATTGTAAGAGTAGTTGTTTTTTGGTTTCTTTGAAAGATTTCTCCAAAATTTAATAATTTATTATAAAATCTAGAATTACGTGATTTAATAATTTATTCTGACATATGTCATATGTCACAAATGTCACATAACTGTCACATAACTGTCACATAACTGTCACATAACTGTCACATAACTGTCATATAACTGTCACACGTATGTCAGATATCTACTAATGCATTTAACTTATCTATAAAGCTTATCATAATTATAGTTAGGAAATTAGCAAAAATAAAATGCATACCAATCCAAAAACGTCCATCCTTACGTTGTTTAACTATTGTGAGTTATTAAACATAAACTGTCTAATATTCAGTGCGTCTTTTCATTTGTACTACAATTTATGTTATAAACTTTATGATATATATTCAGTAAGTACGTCCATATACTTTTTTATGAGCAATTAACTTCTTCGTCCCGCGTTCAGTCTTATTTTTTCTTGTGTTAGACGAGACGCGGTTTTTGCTGACTGCGATACGTTTTTATTCCATATTTACAACACGTCTTAACGATGCCCTCATAACTGTCTTATCTTATCCATTGTACGTGTATGATCGATAAGTGTTAAAGACAGGTTCAATTTTTCACAAGAAATCTATTAGCCTAAGTGAATAGTTCATATTTTTTTGTATTTTTACTGTCTGGTTCATTTAAACTTTGGACGGCTTTAATATGAAGTGAGGGAATTTGGGATTTTCAGCTTTGGCGAAGTTTAGTTACGAACAACTGACTTTATGGAAGCTTGGACTTTGTATGTTTGTTTAGAAAACAATGCAAATGCTGACCGTTAATGCATTTAAAGATGAGCTTTTGTTCTCTACAACTATATAATCAACATTAATTTAATATAATATTAAACTAAATGTTGAAGGATTTCATGTAATAAATATTATTATTAAAGTATTAAAGTAAGTAAATACTAATTGCGTGCCATAAAACTAAACGTTTATGCTTTTTTAATATATTTTCAAATAAAAAATAACTAATTTTGCAAACGTTTTCTTTAAGATTTGTTTATTCTTAAAATAAAACTTCTGCAAATGAAACGTATTATTAAATAAACTCATTTTAAATAATCTCATAAAATTGTTATGTTTTGTGTTTTAAGGAATTGACATTTCACGAAATGTGAATATTTCAATACGTCAACGTAACTGAATCTGTCAAATACATTTATTTTATTTCAATTTATGTCACAAAATCAAACATGAAAACATTGAATAAGATTTTTCTATTGAATAAATAAGTTAAAACTTTTCTTTAATGAATTTTTTTTTTGAAAAATCAAAACGTAACATTTAGTAAATTAGTTGATTTATATACTAACGTATTGACATTGCACGAAACGTCAAATTATTATGATACGTCACAATTAACGTAACTGAATCTACCTGTCAAATGATAATTTTCTTTTCTTTCAAGTTATTTGTCACAAAATCCAAGAAAACAATTCAATAAAATGTATATTTCATATACTAATTACTTGTTTCATAAGGAACGTAAGGTGCAGTAAACTAATTTTGAGAATGAGCTTGTTGTATGAAAAATTAAGTAATTGTCATTACACCAAACTTCAATATTATATGTCATTATACGTCACAATGAAAATGATAAAATTAGTTGATTTATATACTAATGTATTGACGTTGCACAAAACGTTAATATTTTGATACGTCACAATTAACGTAACTGAATCTACTTGTCAAATAATATATATCTTTTGTTTCAAGTTATTTATCACAAAATCCAAGAAAACAATTTGATATAATGTATATTTCATATACTAATAACTTGTTTCATAAGAAACGTTAAGGTGCAGTAAACTAATTTTGAAAATGAGCTTGTTGTATGAAAAATTAAGTAATTGTAATTGCACAAAACGTCAATATTATATGTCATTATACGTCACAATGAAATCGATGAAATTAGTTGATTTATATACTAATGTATTGACGTTGCACGAAACGTCAATATTTTGATACGTCACAATTAACGTAACTGAATCTACCTGTCAAATGATAATTTTCTTTTGTTTTAAGTTATTTATCACAAAATCCAAGAAAACAATTCCATAAAATGGATATTTCATATACTAATTACTTGTCTCATAAGAAACATTAATGTGCAGTAAACTAATTTTCAAAATAAGCTTGTTGTATGAAAAGTTAAGTAATTGTCATTGCACGAAACGTCAATATTATATCAATATTATACGTCACAATGAAAACGATGAAATTAGTTGATTTATATACTAATGTATTGACGTTGCACGAAACGTCAATATTTTGATACGTCACAATTAACGTAACTAAATCTACCTGTCAAATGATAAGTTTCTTTTGTTTAAAGTTATTTGACACAAAATCGCAGAAAACAATTCAATATAATGTATATTTCATATACTAATTACTTGTTTCATAAGAAACGTTAAGGTGCAGTAAACTAATTTTGAAAATTAGCTTGTTGTATGAAAAATTAAGTAATTGTCATTGCACGAAACGTCAATATTATATGTCATTATACGTCACAATGAAAACGATGAAATTAGTTGATTTATATACTAATGTATTGACGTTGCACGAAACGTCAATATTTTGATACGTCACAATTAACGTAACTGAATCTACCTGTCAAATGATGATTTTCTTTTGTTTCAAGTTATTTATCACAAAATCCAAGAAAACAATTTGATATAATGTATATTTCATATACTAATTAGTTGTTTTATAAGAAACGTTAAAGTGCAGTAAACTAATTTTGAAAATGAGCTTGTTGTATGAAAAATTAAGTAATTGTCATTGCACGAAACGTCAATATTATATGTCATTATACGTCACAATGAAAATGATGAAATTAGTTGATTTATATACTAATATATTGACGTTGCACAAAACGTCAATATTTTGATACGTCACAATTAACGTAACTGAATCTACCTGTCAAATGATATTTTTTTTTTGTTTTAAGTTATTTATCACAAAATCCAAGAAAACAATTAAATATAATGTATATTTCATATACTAATTACTTGTTTCATAAGAAACGTTAAGGTACAGTAAACTAATTTTGAAAATGAGTTTGTTGTATGAAAAATTAAGTAATTGTAATTGCACGAAACGTCAATATTATATGTCATTATACGTCACAATGAAAACGATAAAATTAGTTGATTTATATACTAATTTATTGTCATTGCACAAAACGTCAATATTATGACACGTCACAATTAACATAACCAAATCCACCTGTCAAATGATAATTTTCTTTTGTTTTAAGTTATTTATCACAAAATCCAATAAAACAATTTGATATAATGTATATTTCATATACTAATTACTTGTTTCATAAGAAACGTTAAGGTGCAGTAAACTAATTTTGAAAATGAGCTTGTTGTATGAAAAATTAAGTAATTGTCATTGAACGAAACGTCAATATTATATGTCATTATACGTCACAATGAAAACGATAAAATTAGTTGATTTATATACTAATTTATTGACGTAGCACAAAACGTCAATATTTTGATACGTCACAATTAACGTAACCAAATCCACCTGTCAAATGATAAATTTCTTTTGTTTCAAGTTATTTATCACAAAATCCAAGAAAACAATTTGATATAATGTATATTTCATTTACTAATAACTTGTTTCATAAGAAACATTAAGGTACAGTAAACTAATTTTGAAAATGAGCTTGTTGTATGAAAAATTAAGTAATTGTCATTGCACGAAACGTCAATATTATATGTCATTATACGTCACAATTGACGCAACTGAATCTGTCAAATAATAAATTTTCCAAGTTTTGAAATTTAATTGTAAAATAATTAAATAATTCTATAAATAATATTTCAATATCAATTTTATGATCTTTAAAACTAAATAAACGAAAAACATCAATTTATTCAAGAATGTCAAACTCAATGTGACGTTTAAAAAAATTAAGAAAATTTAACAATTTTAATCTTAAATAATAAACAATTTTCTAAATAAATAATATGTGAATAAAACCAAACAAACTGAAAATATATGTTTGTATTAATCTTGTACTTAATACTTAATTATAAGATCTTAAAGTAATCATGTTAGAAGGTTTCCGATGAGAATTCGTTCTGTTCCACGCATATTTTATTTTGTAATAATAATAATAATAATTTATTGGCCAAACATTAATACATAAGAAGAAGAAAAAAAAGTACAATTTATACATAAATAAATTTTAAAATATAATAAAAATATGTATCAATAGGCTGGCCAAAGGGCTATCGACCGAGGTCTTTCCGCCCTTTTATTTTGTTTTTGTTTTCTTTTTGTTTGTCTTATAGCAAGAAAAATGTTGGCAGGTTGTGAATAAGTAATAAAGGGTAAAAAAAAATAAAAAGTAATGAAATATTGCATGCTTATTAACACCAATATTGTTTCTTCTGCAGAAACTAATGTTAATAATTTAGTGTAAACTATTATGTATTATAAATTGATCTGCATGTGCTTGATAGAAATGCTTTCTAATACGCTTCAATTGTAAACTTGCATAAATGTCTTCATAAAAATTAATTTTTGGTTGTTGGGTTTGGAGATATTTTACTTATGCTGCTGTTAACACAGGTAACAGTACAAGTAACTCTTCAGGTGGTGTTGAGAGTACATCGTTGAGACCGTTCACGAGATGGTCCTTCTGCAACGGCAACCGTGCAGCGGCAAAGTTCAATCCTCGTCAACCGCAGCGACAGTACGTGACCCAGTACAACGCGCGCAGATGGATCGTCACCACGACATGACCCTCGATGCGCGGACCTTTCGACGAGGAGGTCACAGAGCTCACCGAAGTCGAGATCCGCTTCAACAACAACATCAACGGTCACAATCACAACAACAACCAAAACGAAACTGTGATGTGAAACGAATCGGACGTTAACCGAAGGTGTTTAAGATTTGATCCTTCAGTTTCCTCAACTTTGAAACGAGAACTCTGTGATATCAACTAAAGAAAACAAATCGTAAATAAGAACATATTCTCACATGCAACACTTCTTAAGAAAATCTTAAACACTTCGTAGATTTATTATAGTATTTTTTTTCATATTTATGGGACTGTGATTTTAGCTTTTAACAAACGGACACTCTTCATTTCTCCAAACTGTCCGACTTCCTCACGTATTTAGAAAGAAAGTGCCAAAAAATAAAATCAGCACCCATACAAAACCTCGTCCCATCAATTTTATAAAAATAAATCACTTTTATTTCAACTTTCAGGGACGAAACGACACAGGGTAATACTATTATTTTTTATAAATAAATATAAATTCAGTAGATAAATTCGCTCCAACTATACTTAATACTTTCTAATTGGATATTTGTTTGTAACTTTAAACTCTCTTTTTCTGTTGAAATGTTTATTTGGGGAAAACGAAACGCAGCTTACTAAATATATATAAATAAGAACTAACAAATTCTAGTAACTTTAGGATTACGAAAAGTATACGTGTTAATGTGTATTTATAATTGGATTTAAGCTTAGCAAATGAAAGGATTTGCTTTTTCGAATCTACGATTAGCACTAAGAATGAAAAATATATATAATATTATACTAAATTGGGTGACCCGATAATAGCGCGCAGGACAAAAGCGCGCCGACAAAATGTTTGGTTTTGGATGTATTTTAAAAATACACACAAATTCTCGTGCAATTAACATTGTCCTTTTATTGCGCGCTTTTGTTAATGTGCGCTTTCGTCTGCGCGCTTTTGCTAGGACACCACTAAATTGATTATGGTTATCTCTAGCGTTGTTAATTTTGGAGTGGTGAAAAGACGATAAACTGTGTGTTTTATAAATTGTCATTTATAAGGAAATATTCTAGTTTTTATATATATAAACGTAATAATTAATAAGGAAGAAAATAAATTAATTATTCGATTTTAAATTTGTTTATTATATATATGTATTCTTATTAAATATTTGTATTTAATTACGTTCCTCGTTTAACTTAACTGACAGTTATTTGTTCTTAGCGATATTGGAGGTAAGTAAATATTTCTATCATTTCATATATAAAATATAAATAATGATAGAAGCAATAGAACATATAAACAATAAAAGAATTATTCAAAAGATTTACTTTTAATTGTCATTGCACGAAACGTCAATATTATGATACGTCACAATCAATGTAACTGAATCTATTTGTCAAATAACAAAATTTCATTTTTTTTCGAGTTATATGTCACAAAATACAAAAAGAAAATAAGTCTATTCCAACAACAATTTGTTGGAATTGACTTTTTTTCATTAATGATTTTGTTTATTCATAAATCAGTACTTATTGAGAATAATGTTTGTATGAAATATAAAAGTATTGACATTTACTTGTCATTGCATGAAATGTCAAACGTCAATTATACGTCACAATCAAAGTAACTAAATCGAACTGTCAAATGGATCCAAATTCAATTTGTAACTAATTTAGAGCAATTAATCAATACTTTTTATTGAAATATTCACAAAATCCAAAAAAAAAAAACAAGTCTATTAGAACAAAATATTAACTAACTTATTTTGATTAATGATTTTGTATATTCACAAATCAGTACTTATTAAGAATAATGTTTGTATAAAATATAAAAGTATTGACATTTACTTGTCATTGCATGAAATGTCAAACGTCAATTATACGTCACAATCAAAGTAACTAAATCGAACTGTCAAATGGATCCAAATTCAATTTGTAACTAATTTAGAGCAATTAATCAATACTTTTTATTGAAATATTCACAAAATCCAAAAAGAAAACAAGTCTATTAGAACAAAATATTAACTAACTTATTTTGATTAATGATTTTGTTTATTCATAAATCAATACTTATTAAGAATAATGTTTGTATGAAATATAAAAGTATTGACATTTACTTGTTATTGCATGAAATGTCAAACGTCAATTATACGTCACAATAAACGTAACTAAATCGAACTGTCAAATGGATCCGAATCCAATTTGTAACTAATTTAGAGTAATTAATCAATACTTTTTATTGAAATATTCTTCATAATTATTAATGATCATAACGTAAATTTTGGTTTGGATTTATCTAATTTACAATAAGATCAAAAGAAACTTGTTACTATAGATAACATTTGGTTATCACAGAAGCCTACCGGTTTAGGATTAATTTGCAGATTGTAATCCAATATCGGGATATTGCGGTAATTAATTCCGAACTCTAGTATCTAATAAATACATTGACAGTAATTAACTCTGAACAAATGACGATCAAACGCAAATATTGTATCAATTTATTAAATATGTTTTCGACCATTGATTTCTAATTAATCTTTAATTAAACTTAATTTTACTCGCAATTATTTAATTAAGTTTAAAATAATTTAGTTGTATTTCTTTTTTTATTGTAAATTAGGTCAGGATTTTAAACGTAAATTCCTTTTTTTTTGTCTCCTTCCATGCGTACCTTAATTGGACAAAAATGGGTTCGTTGCACGCTTAGTGTCGTTGTATGTATATGTGCAGAAACGGGATTAGGTTTGAATAGGCGAGGGCGTAAAGAAATAAGGCAGCAAGTAAAAAGTACCTCTTTTTTTGGGGAAGGACCGGGCCAATTCCCAAAAGGATCTTGTTAAAAAGCAATGTGTATCTCCTTTCATCGCTTCCATCTACATCCTCTATACATTATATACAAATCAAAACCGTTATGTACTTACATTTGTCTGATTTTTTGTTGATCGTATACAGATCGGATCAGTTTCTGCCGTATTTATTTACATAAATATATCCATTTCCATTTGATTTTTATATGGTTTTTATTTTGATGCAGGTTTGCTACATTTTACGGCAAATTTTTATATTTTATACCAATATTTACAATTTACACACTGTTACATACATCGAGAAGCATTGATCAACAATTATCAACAATTTGCCAGAGGAACTTTTGAACACGATGAATTCAAATCATAAACATAATTAAATCGAGAGCCTCAATATTTGGTATAATCTGTGCAGAAATGGGAGTCTAATCCTTATTATTTTATACTGAAGTTTGTTGGCTGTCCCGAGTCAAAGTTTTGGATATATTGTTTGAGCTTCGCTACGAGCTGCATGTATGAGATGATGTTTACTGGATAGTCAAACTTGCATACGTGGCTGATATATTCGAGCATCTGAATAAACTTAATAACAATATGCAAAATTGGAATGAGAATATATTGACGTGCTCTGACAAATTACAGGGGTTAAAAAAAACTCCTGAAGACTCCAAGAAGAGTTGCAAAAAGGATGTTTAGAAATGTACCAAAGGACCAACCATAGTTTTTTTTTTGGATCTGGCACAACAACATTTAAGTATGCTTCAACAGAAATTTGATCACTATTTTTATTTTATTAATACAGAACAATATGATTGGAATCGAAATCCTACGGAAGAACAAATTCGAGAAAATCAAATTCAAGAGAAATTTATAGAATTAAGTCATGACTTAGATGTGTTTTGGATTTCCGTTAAGAAAGAATATCCTCGCATTCCCGACAACAACATATTCATATGAGTAAAGTTTTTCAACTCTTGTTTCAATTGATAAGCGGTCATGCTTGACCAAGAACTTCGGGTTGCGCTGTGAAATATTGAGCCAAATATAAAACTTTTGTGTTCATAAGAAATGAAAATTTATTTTGAAATTTGTGTATTAATTTAATCTCTATATATTTGAACTTTTGGTGTGCCGCAAAATTCTAGCAACAACTTTGGTGTGCCGTTGTAGACCACAATAGGAATAACACATTTTTAGTTAAGATTTGCACAAATTTTAACCCATAATTTGGCTAAAAAATTTCTCATATTTATAGTGCTCAAACCAGAAAAAGTTATTGTAGTGAAATTTTAGACAAATAGTTTTTTCCTATATTCCATTCAGACATTTTGGACAGTAATCACATAAATTTAAATATTGAGTATTTTCGTCGCTTTTCCTTTTTACAAAAAATATTTTAAGTGAGTTTTCAAAAACTTGTCTAATTTCGGATGTAGACGGTACACAAGTATTTCCAGACTAATTGTTATTGCGAGTATTTATGCAACGTTCGCGTGCGACCGAAATAAAATTGCATGCAAAGAAAATACGTTCCGAAAATTCGCCGGAAGGTCAATCCGTTTTCTTCGAAACGCATTGATTTTGGTTGCACACGAAATCTTTAATTTCTAGCGCACAGTATTGTCTGACCTTCGATAAAATGACGATGAATGAATACATTGTTAAAAATTAAGATATAAAACTTAACTTTCATTAATTTTATCAAAATGATTTTACAGCTTGAATAATTGAACTAAAATATAAATACTAAATTTTATAATGATTGTTTAAAATGCCGAAGTTCATTAAAACATCTAATGCCCCCATATAATTTAAATTTGTTAACGTTTCTAGTCTACACCCATCCGAGGACTCTCGAATAACTTCGAAATACGTTAATTTTTCATGTTCGACACGTAACCTTTCTTGTTTTTACCGTATCTCTCCTATGTATATATTTTATTGAAGTTAATTTAAGTTTCGTTAGAAGAAGTTTTTTATTTTGATTATTTGGGCTGAAGAAGGAAGTTTTGGTTTTATTGGAAGAAGCTGCTTACTTTAATTATTTGGGCGAAAGAAGAAATCCGAAGAATAAGTCTTACTTTGTGCTTTGAATGAACAGACAGTGGCTGGCGGAAGCCAAATGAAGAAGGGGAAGGAAGAAGAAGAAGGATTGTTTAAAAACTAAAACAATTATAATATTTACAAAATAAATTAAAGACTAGATGATTAATGTGTTTGCTTTTAAATTCTACGCGATTTTTTATTTCAAGTTTATATACGGAATATATATGTGCAAGAAAAAAAAAGTTGAATCATTGATTATAAATGGTCAATGTATCCTTGCATTTTGTGGAACAAAGACTAGAGTTGTAAATTACATTGTAAACTACATTCTTGAACTAAGCGCACTCATCTGGAGTCATAGTGGAAGAAGTGCACGTTAACTAAAAGAAGAGATTGCAAGAAAATAATATAACGTTTGGATAAATCTTAAGCTATAAATTAATGGTGTGTGTTAATATTAATGAATACTTAATAGAAATTGGAATAAAAACAATTTAAGTATTTCACAAAGTATTTGATTTATTTGTAACTAAACTGTTAATTAATTATCAACATTATTATTAATTATACTAATTAATTCTTGTCCTATTATGAAACTTAATATCATTAGTAAATTAACTAGTTTATTCATTAGTATAACAAAGAAGATGTAGCGTAATCCTTGTTACGAAACGTAAGTTGCCTATGTTAAAAAAATGACAGGCAATGCTCTCTGACGTATAGAGTCCAAATTTTAGAAGCGTGTCGCAATATGCCATCTCTTATCAACTATTGTTGATAATCCATTGTTGCACTGTTCCATTATGTTTATCAAAGTTTTAATGTATCTCCAGTAGATGCCTGCAGATCATCACTTCAAACTCAAATTATTGATTTTTTCAACAATCTAACATGACGCGTCTTTCTTTGTATTCATTTTACCCTTATTCTCTTGATGAAGCTTGTCTGATGCGTTGCACTTTGTACTATACCATAAATATACGCAACCAAATGGAATGAAAACGAACTTGTGACGATTACATCAAGGGTAAATAGGATAGATCTAGTGTTCTCGTTGCTTGTAAACTGTCATAATGAATTGTGCTATCACATAATTTCTTCTAATCAACACAATTTTTATTTTGCGCAATTGATATTGTTGTTGTTGTTGTTGTTGGATGCACGTCAAAGGACTATTTTTGAGCGTAAGTCAAAATTGATTGCTTGCTTGATTCATGCCATATTGCATATAAAACTATTATTAATTACAAGATCAATGGAAATGCGTACGGCCTTGCACTGATAATAATGGCTAAATTTATTGTTATGTCCCAACATTGTTATTATTTGATATCATGATTATACTTTATATAAAAGTTCGAAACTATATACAAGTTAAATTTATCTGTCAATATTTTGAAGAGATTTCCATGGAAACAATGTTCTTGATTACAACTATTTTCGCTTTGCTAAGAATTGTAACCCCCACTAGGAATTTTTATAAGGACGAAGAACGACTATCTACATTAAGTTAGTTTGAAGAAACTAGTTTAGAAAAAGTTGATACTGAAAACTTCTTATTGAATGCAACTCTTGAAATTCCCTAACCTCTGACAGACACAACATTATATAGTCGTCGGTCGCACACACGTGATTGACGATTAATAATCTCCTTTTATCACGCATAGTTGACCTTCTTCGCATTGTACGGAGATACTGCTATCGCTCGAATAGTTTTTTTAGTTAGTTCTTGTACGTTCAAGTGAGTGGTTTCTATTCTGTGAATGATGGCACATCAAGTCAAGGTAGGAGGTTCATTGTTATCATCGTTATCGACGTGAAATGCATAATTGGTTGCCTAGGTCGGGATCATCGGCGGTTCTGGGTTAGATAACCCTGATCTTCTGAAGAACAGAACGGAGAGGAAGGTGACCACGATTTTCGGAGATCCATCCGATATCTTAGTCGAAGGCGATATCGATGGCATTCCGTGCGTGCTGTTGGCGCGACATGGAAGGAATCACAGCATCATGCCCGGAAACGTCAATTACAGAGCAAACGTTTGGGCTCTGAAAGAAGCAGGTTGCACCCATTTGGTGGTGTCTACCGCTACTGGTTCTTTGCAGGAGGAAGTCAAGCCCGGGGATATCGTTATTCTGGATAATTTCATCGATAGGTAGAGTCGTCAGATTCAAATCGGGGTTGGAAATGTTAGAGTTCGAATTTTGTAGGACTTCGGGAAGGAAGCAAACATTTTACGATGGAGAGAAAAAATCTCCGGCTGGTGTTTGCCATTTACCAATGGAGCCTGCGTTTTGCGCAAGAACTAGGAACATCGTGATCAACGCCGCCGAAGGTCTAGGAATACCTGTTCACAAAACCGGAACAGTAGTTGCAATCGAAGGTCCACGATTCGGCAGTAAAGCGGAGAGCAACATGCACCGGATGTTTGGTGGAACTGTAGTCAACATGACCACTGTCCCAGAAGTAAAACTAACCAATTATTACATCCTATGAACAACAACAACAACACGAACTATTCGAACTATTTCAGGTGGTTCTAGCCAAAGAAGCAGGTCTTTGTTACGCAGCAATCGCCTTGGCTACCGATTACGATTGCTGGAGATCAACGGGAGACAAAGTGTGCGTAACCGATGTCCTGGCAATGTTCAAAAAGAACGTCGACAAAGTAACCAAACTGATTATGGCCGTGGTCATTCGCATCGGACGCGAAAACTGGGATGAAACCATCACCGAATTGAGAGTAAGAATCGATCATCAATCCGTGACGACATAACAATATAACTTTCTAAACTTCCAGAAAACGGTCAAAGACAGCGTCATGTTGCACTGATGCGGATTAAAACGCAATTCATTTACAGAGAAGAAGAAAAAAAAAATAAAACAAATTTTAATAAATATCTTTACAATAACCATAACCGTGTGTTTACTCTCTCGTACTCGTTAATATTTTTTTTTTGTTCATCGAATTTTGAGTCCCGATTCGAAGCAAGGTAATTTAAACGGCCTTAAATTACGTCGCTTCAATATAGTAAATGTTGAGCGTATAAAAAATGACAGTCTTATTATATTTTTTTTTATGCTAGTTTTTGAAGCGCGCGCGATATTTAGAGGTCCTGGCTGGGATTTTTCCTGCGCACGTATTTGTTGAAGTAGTCGGGTCTCCAGCACTTGCAGGAGCCTGGGATCAGGAACCAGTCGTAGTAGAGCCTAACTTGGAAGCAGCCCAGGGAATCGACGCCGTCGCAGTGGATAGGTTTCGATGTTGTCGTCGTTTCGATCGGCGATGCTTGCAAACCCGCTCTTTTATGCAAGTACTGCTGATAGTTCTTTAAAATAAATGAAAATATAAGCTTTGTTTATTTGCGGTTTTTTTAAATTGCTACTTACTTGGAAATCGGATACTGAAGGCGGTTGAGAAGCGGTGACCGGACTGCGAGGACCGTTGTTTTGCTCGGGGTTGCTTAAAACGGTGTCGGGGTAGTAAATTTCAGCTACTAAAAGGGATGACCAGCGCGGGGAGGATAAACAACCTCCATCTAAATAATGGCACCTGGATTGCATGCACCTGGTCACTTCAACAGTTTGCGTGAAGTAACCTTCGTAAGGAATCTGCACCACGTATCTCCAGACGCCTTGATAATTCTTTGCGAAGACTGGCGTCGCGTATTCGACCTTTGCTGGGCAAGGAGTCGGTGGTCCATCGTACCTCGATTGCTGCGGCATGTCATCTCGTCGTTCGATAGGTAGATGGACCGGAGCCGGGGACGCGGATCCAGACTGCTCACCGTTAATGGCCTTGTAAAGCATACAGAAGACACCACCTTGATCGCAGAATTTCCTTCCTTTCCTCTTAGATTCCTCCTCGTCGGTTTCCTCCGACTTCTTGGTTTCAGCGACATCGCGCTTCATGCGATCGTTCGCCTGATACGACGTAATGCTAAACACCCAGAGAGAGAAATTAACATTCTGCAGACGCACCTTCCTTTGTTTACTTACGTGTTCTGCGAAATGAGGTCGTCTTGCAGTTGGGCAACTTTCGGCAAAGTTTCATCCGCTTTGAGAATCGGTAATGTGCGGCTCAAATACTTCAGAGTCATATTCTTAATCAACTCGCTATAAATAGTATAAATGTTATGAACTTGTTTTTTTTAGTTTTTGATTAATTTACAAGGGATACGGCGAGCCCATGACGTTCTGTCCCATCGGATTCCTAGGAATGGAGCCCTTATTCAGATCTCCGCATAAATTGAATGGACTGACGTGCGGCGTTTTGTCCTCATCTTCCTTGCAATCTACAGGTGCATGAGTGTATGGTGGAGGTCTGACCCTTGGTGGTTCCGCATTCGGCGACTCCACGAAGGCGTAGTATCCTTCCGGAGGGTCCTCTGTTTTGGTGGTCGTCGTCTCCAGCGCATTTCCGAAACCAATCACCACTAGCTGTAAATGCAATAAACGTATTCATGAAATTGGGATTGAACAGGTTCTTGTGCTATATGTCTACGCAACCGTCGACGGCACACAAATATAACTTCGCAAATACAGTTAGATCATGTTAACGGGAATCGCCTCGCAGGTCGCTACCGTCTATCTCCATTCCTCCTCCTCTTTCACTCATTCTATATATCTCTCTCTATCTTCAGAGCTCACAAACTCTTTGAAAACCCGATTTGCATACGCGAACATTGAGATGACTCTAATCGGATTCATCGATGAAAGGTGAAAGAGATCCGGAAGTGGGCTAACTTCTTCTGTTCATTCACCTCGCAGCGGCAACCGAAGGACGCACCGGCTGACCTTCGGCTTCGGAATTGGGTCTCACGAATGTGTAGTATCTTCGTGACCCGTTTCACTCATCCATCATCATCTCGCTTCAAAACAAAACCCAACACCATTTCATTACGTAACACACACAAAAACAACTCACACGCAATTACATAATTTCCAATTCTCTTACACATTTTTTTTACAGCACGACCGCGTTTCATCCAAAATACTCGACAAGCTAATTTTCTAAATAAACATGCATTTCTAAAAACGGGTTACAGTGCAACTGAAATAAATCTGTTACCATTTCAAACAAAGAAACTAAGAAACTTAAACATATATAAAATCTTTGATTTATTACCAATTCTAATACTAATTAACCCAACACATTTATTGAATTAATTAAAATTGTAAATATGATTTGAATAACGCATCTTAGCAATAATATGATAATCTATTACGAAACGTAATAATTCATCGACGTAAGAAAATAGCAATTAAATGATTATAGAAAAATTACTAATTAAAAAACAACTAAATAAATAAATCTACGTCAAACTTGCTTTCATAAAATTCAATAATAATAAATAATCAAAAATAAACTATGTACTTGAAAACTCGCGGAAACCGCACATGCACAAAACTTTCAAATAGAAGGAAGCAAATGCAGATTAATGCCTCGAATCTTATCATTACATTATATAAACCTGTTCGAAAATTGTATACAGCTCATTCAGGTGAAATAAAAGCCTTCATAAAAGTAACGCGTTACGTAAATTCCGGTTTATTATTATTTATTAATAATTGAATATGAACATATCGGTACATAATTGTTCAGGAAATGGAGGCACGATAATCGTTAGATTCTTAGAAAATAACTTCTGCAGAAATTAATTAGAAATTCTCTTAATTGCGTATCTTAATCACGTTTTTTTTAAATAAATTGAAACAACTGTTTTCATTATTCATTTACTTTACCCAACCTGTAATAATCTTAAACAAACAAAAAAATACTTATAAAAAATTAGAATTATCTATATCTTTTAATTTCATTATACTAATTAATTGAATCAGCAACTTCGCTTATTAATGTTGAGATTATTTTTTTGCTTTTTCAAAATTTTCATCAACATTTTAAACCTCTTTTTATAAATTTTGTTGAAATTCTTAATTTATTTTTCATTACATTTATAAAAATTAATGATCTAGAAGATAAATCAATTAGTTTATAGAAATTATTCCCTTGTTGATATTTCACTTTACATAAAAGTATAAATTAATTACGATTTTACTAAACTTAAGTCAACGTCAATTATTATTATTCATATTTTGTAGTTAAGACTTCTATAATATGTATTTTTTGTATACCTGTATTTATTATTAATTCAATTGTATAACTGTGGAAATCAGATCATTAATCAATGCTTAAGTCTCTTTTAGTTATTGGATTGTCCAGTTGTTGTTACGTTATTTAAAATTGTATTATATTCAGTGCATCTTGAGTACATTCGATCATGTTATTTTCCATAGCAAACATTATCAAAAAAAAAGAGGTCGTGGGTCACGGTCTTGTTTTTTTTAATTGTTTCGTCATAGATGCTTGTAAGTTAGGAAATACTAAAACTACTCAATCATTAATTAACCAATTCTTAAACTGACTAAACCGATTTTGGTGTGTGTTGCGAAAAAAGCCGATTACTCTCACGTTCTCGCTCGATTTCCGTCTTCAATGTTAAATAACAATATCGTCGTTGCACTTGTGCAATTGGCGTGTGCAGAACGAAATGCGGCGATACTGAACTGCACGTACCAGTTGCGAACTTGATCTTGTTTTGTTGCATTAGATTTAGTGAACGAGCGGCGGAGTCGTCGAGAAGAGTCAAGAGCCTTCGCGAATTGGAATGTCAAACAAGTAAGAGCACGGCTTCGAACGAAATTCTTTTCGCATTTATTTAACAAACAACACTCGTCTATAACTGTAATTCTGGTAAGAGAAGAAGATGAAGAAAATACAAAAAAATAAGTAAGAAACACACGCACGCATCTCGGGAAGAAAGTAACAGTAATCGAGTCGACGCTTTTTTCTTTGCCATCAACGAAATATGAATTGCGCAACTTTCCCAACGCGAAGCGCGGCCAAATTTTAACAGTTACTTCCGTTACTAACGTCATTATTTTTTTTTTTCGTTGTCGTTGTTGATGCGGCGTAGCTAATGGCGAACTAATTTTACCGAGTGCAGAAGGAAGAACCGTTCGATGGTACCATTCGTGCTTTGCATACGCACCTCGAGCTCTTCGCCGTCGCCGCCGCACACTCGTTTTCCGTAGTTTGCTACATTATACCGTGTACTTCTTCAGATGTTCTTAATTGGTTAATTGCGAGAGAGGATTTCTCCTCGTTTCGATTGGAAATGCTCACTCAACCCGTATCTCTTCCGATACCGAGAAGCGCGCATCATCCTCGAAATGGGAAATAGAAAACGCGATGAAACCGAACCAAGTCAAATGGGGAAATTGGGTTCCATTAATAAAAAAAAAAGAAGAAACAAAAAAAACAACAACATTCGACGTAGAAAGCTCTCGTTGCGTAACTCACCCGATGGGTGAAGGGCGGAAGTGCTATTACTCTTACATATTGTTAGTGATCAAAAAAAAAAACTTCAAAACCAACCAAATGCAAGTGTTTTTTTTTATAGCTAACGCAATTACAAAACGAATTACTTCTAAAACAACATCTTATTATTTTCTTTTCACGTTACGTTTACGGATATTTCCACTCTGATTCCGGGAATGATTTTCTAGAAAATAAATTGCCTCATTTCTTTCTCCTCTGTGTTCCGGTTTTTAACTCAGACAATTTTTATTTTATTCGATTTCCATTTGATACGCTCGTAAATATTCTGTAATCGCAGCAGTGAATAAACAAAAAAATATGTATCACGTTTCAAAAATAAGAACAAACATTCCACATATGTTCAGTAATTAATCAATTGAATGAAATGTAATAAAAATAAGTTTTTTATAGTATTTTCTCAAAATTAATTTAAATTTAAGACAAATTGACTAATTTTGTAACTAGTTTCCAAACACAAAGACTAATAAACTAATTGGATACAAAATATTTTATCTAACTAACTCTAATTATCACGTAACAATTTTATTTTTATAACTGTTTTCGAAAACTTCTCATTATTAGCATTTATATTGCTTTAAACTAAATTTGTTGTTACAAGATTATTAAAATAATCAAAAGCTATTATAAATAATTACGTTTACTTTTTTTCGTGCGAGACAAGATGATTGCGACAATTTCACGTTTTATTTAATTTGTTAATGTTCCTTGTTTTTTTTTTGTCATTAGGCAATTTCACGTTATACAATATATTACTTCGTGTAATGAGTGCGAGTAATTGCGAGATGTTACAATAATGAAAAACTCTTAACAGTTGTTTTTCATTCTTCTGTACTCTCACGAAATGAAATTTTAGTAGGATCGGCCCGATCAGAAAGAGACGCGAAGTGCTCATATATTAACTGTAAACTCGTGATGACATAATGCGGAGGAAAGTTTATTGTTTTGTTAAAATAAAACTGTTAAATATTTGCCGAGAAATACAAACATTTTATTAAAGACTCCAATTATATGATTAAAGAGGATGTTTTTTTTTGGAGTTCTGTTAGTCCAGACCGGTATTTTTTAATCTTAGGGTTCAGATTCAACATTCCATTGAATTTTCACTTACCATGTATAATATGAAACGAATAAATAATACTTATATTCAAATTGTTTCGCATATTTGTGAATTATCTATGACTTTGTAATTGTAATATGAAAATTCAGAAAATTTAATATCAACTTGAACTATTATTGAAGTTATTATTATAGCAAAATAATATTAGTGGTCCAAATAATGAATTTCTTTTGTTTAAGCAAGTGAATATTGATATAATTCGTGAATAAATATTAATTAATCAAATATCAATAAATTATGTAAAAGATTTTTTTCAAGCAAATTGTTTTCGTTTATAATATAAAAATTAAAACTAACTATGGAATTTGAATAACTTGATTACTTATTGGCTAATACTTAGAAAAAATGGTATCAAATTCAAGAATTACTATTAAATAATGATGAATTATATTTTTTGTTGTATATAATGTTAATAAGTTTGGTAAATAATAAATGGGAAAATCTTACCAAAAGCACTGTCCAATTCATTTTAATAACAATTAAGAAAATCTAAGTAAATCACAAACGTCTCACTGGTCTATTGAACTTGTTCTCGTAGTTCGTTGTGTTACCTAACGACTAACGTCTTGAGGAAGACTCGGGCGAATGAGTTCTGAGCTTACGGATCGGCGCGAGTCCAGAGAAGACTCGAGGTTCGATGGTAAACAGGTAACGGGACTCGCATATCTTCGCCTGAGTAATCTACTACTGCAACTTGGTTATAGGCCAAAGCGGAGCTATACGCTCGTTATAGAGAAACGCGAACGGAATAAGTGAACTCCTCATTTCCAATTCCCGATCCGGAAGTCGCGATCGTGATGGGCGCTCATGATTTATGTGTCTTTTTCGATTTGCAGTTAGCACGATGATTCCGAGAACGATGCTGAATTTTCAAATAAGACGCTCGATAGCCACGAGCCACCTGAACTCGAGGTCCAGCGTGGAAGCGATCGAGACCAAAGCTACGTACTACCAGGAGCAAATCGATAAATACCAGGATGACGAGAAGCCGAGCAACTGGAACGAGTCGAAACCCTACAACAGCATCCCAGGTCCGAAACCTTGGCCCATCGTTGGTAATATCTGGCGCTTCTTCTACGGCGAATTCAAAGGGAAGAACATGGCCGAAATCAGCAAGCACTTGAGGAATACGTACGGCGATATCGTCGTGCTGAACAAACTGATAGGCATCCCCGATAAGGTGTTCCTGTATAACGCTGAAGACATCGAGAAGATGCACAGAAACGAAGGCCTTTGGCCTCAAAGAGACGCCCTCCATTCAATCTTATATTACAGAACTGTCCTGAGGAAAGATATATTTCAAGATAAACCTGGTTTAACAGCAATGTATTTTATCATATATAAAATTACGTTCAACCAAAACTCACCGATTCATTTCGTAGGCAAGGTCAGGACTGGTTCAAATTTCGCACAGTCGTAAATCCCATTCTGATGCAGCCCAGAACAACGATCAAGTACGTTGGTCAGATGGACACGATCGCTGACGACTTCCTTAGGCAAATTCACAGGCTGTACGAAATAAACCCAGAGATGCCCGAGGATTTTGAATTGCTGATCAACAAGTGGACCTTAGAATCAATCACATTTTTAGCCATTGACAAAAGAATTGGTACTTCTCTTCTTACCATTATTAATTGCGACAAATACTGAAAGATAATACGTTTCAGGATGTCTCGAAGATCATCCGACTGAAGAAATCCAGACTTTCCTAGCCAGCACCGTCGGCGTCTTCAAGCAGATGTATAAGCTGGACGTCCTTCCATCTCTTTGGAAGGTTTACAGCACGAAGGATTGGAAACTTTTCGTCAAACACATGGACTTCATTACCAAGTAACGATAATTAATAACCTAATCTGTCATCAAACAATGTATTGTTTCTTTTTTTTTCAAAGCACTCTACTCAAATACGTGGACGAAGCTTTTCAGTCAGTCAAAGACAACCCTGAAATTAAAGACAAGTTCAACAAGAGTATTTTCGATAAATTCTTAGAGCTGGACAGAAAGGTTGCTATCACCATGGCAATTGATATGATGACTGGCGGAATTGATACAGTAAGTATATTACAATTATATTACAAAATTATCAAAAACTTTCATTAATGGGATTTAAGAATTTTCTGCTTTCATTTAGCCATCAATTATTTTCTTACTGAAAATCCAACAATTCGGTTGTATACAACACATTACAATCAGAAATGTTGTAAAACGAGAATTTTAATTTATAAAATGTATTACAATAAATGTTTATTTTAAAATTCAATTTTAAACAAAAATACAAAATTATTAAATTAAATTTTGTACCGTTTAGATACGATACTTGTAAAAATAATAACAATATAAATTTAGTTATTGTTTGGTTTCAAAGGTTTATTTACAAACAAATAAATTGTATTATGTTTCAGACGAGTAAAACATTTGCCGCGACATTATATTTCCTATCGACGAATCAGGGGCCTCAAACTAAACTGAGGGAGGAACTAAAAATGCTGATGCCCAATAAGAATACGCCCATTACCGCGGAAATCTTGGAGAAAGCCAAATACTTGAAAGCTGCAATCAAAGAAAGCACCCGATTGGCTCCGATTGCTGTTGGAAATATGCGAAAGACGCAGAAGGCTCTGGTATTGTCAGGATACCAAATACCGAAAGGGGTAAAACGATATAAATATTTGTTATTCTTTATTAATTTTCAATTTCAATTTGCAAGGTGGATCTTTTATCCGGGGCCATAGCTCTGCACCACGACGATAAGCAATTCAAGGACAGCAAGAAATACATGCCCGAAAGGTTTCTGCGCACGACCACTTGCGAATATTCGGTGAAGAACACGAATCCATTCGTTTTTCTGCCGTTCGGATTCGGATCGAGATCGTGCGTCGGCAAGAGGTTGGCCAATTTGGAGTTGGAAATTGCTTTGGCGAAGGTAAATTTGTAGAAGAATTATGATGAAGTATTTAATTGTACTAATGGTTGACAGATTGTGAGGAACTATTACTTGGATTGGAAGAGGCCGGAGATGAAGTTCAATACAACGCTGATCTACGGAACAGCGGATCCGTTGAGATATCATTTGAGAGCTGTGGAGGACTAAAACTTTGTTTATTCGTAATTTAAATATATCTATATATAATAATAATACATGTTAAGTTAAATTAAATTGTACTAAAATAATACTGGCTTCATTCCAACTATTTGCCACCCTTGCGCTCCTCCCAAGCCAGCTGCATGGCCCAAACGCTCAGCGGTCTCATGTAACCAATAGATCTGTAATACTTTTCTTCGTACAGAGCCTCCGGCGTTTCGAAGGACATCCCTAAACGGTAAGCCAGAGTGTGGTACATACCCTCGGTGGTCTTGAACGCCTCCTCGACCAAACCCTTCAACGCGAAATCGTATTTGAAACATTTACATCAATCCAAGTACTGTCAAGTCTTACCTCTTGAATCATATTCGCCGCTAAACCGTAAACCACTCCAGTCCAAATCTCTTCACTTTGGATGGTGAACTGATCGACGGTTCCGTTGGTCTTGAATCCATTGACAGCTCCCATATTACCATTTTTAAAAGACATCACATTGTTATTGAATATGGTTTTCAACGCGCTCAGCACGTTCTCCTGTGGGAATACCTCGTATTTGTGGCCGCTGGACCTCAGATACCAGTGCCCGCACAACTGATCCGCCATTATAACATCCTTATTTTTAATATCGAAATTGTAGAATTTTCCGTTCCACAGCTTTTCCTCAAACGATTTCTTTCCCAACTTCAAAATCTTCTCGTAATTCACCTTATCCTCATCCTTGCCTAATATATCAGCCATAACGGACATCGCATACATAGCGGCCAACCACAAACCTCCGCAGTAAGCGCTAAAAATATTATAAATAAATCCGTTGGTGTTAGAATTGGAATGTCAATATACCTTGGACCGGTCATCACCCAAGTATCGTAGGTCTGATCGGGAATACCCATATTCTCTATTAATCCGTCGCCGTCGGTGTCGAATTGCAGCGACTTCTTCATCACAGTGTTCATTGCTAAATACATATCTTCCAGATACTGTTTCTTGTTGATATTCGTAGATACGTTGTAATCCCTAAACACCTGCAGAACAAACTTGGTGTTCAAATCGCGCCACTGACTCACATCGTGCACCGGATAGGCGTTAATCAGCAGAAAAGGTTCTTCGTCTGAAATACTTGCCATTATACACAAATACATTGAGTGATTTATAACGTATAACTAACCCGGATCACCTAGATCGTGCGGAACGCTATCCTTGACTTTACGTTTGCACATGTGGCCGTTGAAAAGTTCTTGAATGTTATCAGAAATCTCCCTGAAAATAGAATCCTTGATATCATATTGGATAGTTTGCTGAAGCATCGGCCAATTCATGCTTAGTGCGTAAGAAGCGTAGAAATGCACGTCGTAAGTGTTGTACATCCTGTATTCGTGTCCTTCCAGATAAGCATATCTTCCATATTCCAATCTTAAAAATGTTATAATTCATTTAAAAAAAAATATGGATTGATTAACTTGCAAGGACATACCTTGGATCGTGCTTGGCTAATTTAGAGGCTTCGGAATCGTCCAAAATGTACCAAGCGCTTCCTCCATCAGACACATAGTATGTTCCATTGAATAAAGCAGCTTTATACCAATCGGGCAGACCTCTAAAACGACAAACTCAAAATCCAATAACGTTACATAATTATTAACTACTAACGCATCACTTAAAATGGGCTCTTGCCATTTATAAATCTCTTGTTCCCAATTCTTATAATTCTTGAAGGCGTACTCTACCATTTTCAGAGTACCATCCATCCCAAAGAACTTGGTATAATACTTGGTATATTTTTGCTTCTTATAAAAGTAAGAAACCACAGACATATCCCATACCAAAGAGAATTCCATCTCCTTAACGTTCTTCGGTTTAACGGTCGTCTGCACTGCAACGCCGACAGCCATTTCACCGAAATAATTGTCGAATTTCTTGTCGGAAACTTTATCGAATTTTCCGTTCTTGTAAAGCTGATTCCATGGACCGGACCCACTGGAATTGGGATTGAAATGGACGCACTTCGAGATGTTCTGATCATCGCGGACCTTCGCTGCTAACGCGTAAGAGCAGCTGGTCTTTTCGATTTGGTGGTAAAGCACAACGCCTTCGGAATCGAAATAGGAGAATGGTTTGGAACTGCAGGCAGCTACAATTTGCAAATTCCTAATAATAAATCTTATTGTTAGAATATTGATAAACGTACCTTTATTATCAATTTTACGGTTTCCTATGCCGTTCTTGAAAGTGAATGTTATGGTTACGTTCAGTTCCTCCTCAGAAACATTATCAATGGTCCACACGAAAACGGCTGCTGGAATTGACGTATCCTAAGAACACGATAAATTTCAATTGGATTAAATCAATAATCTCAATCGTAATTAAATTACGATTTATGAATGGGATTGATACATGATTTCGGCGACAAATTTTAAGGTGCGAGATAATAGCTTATCGCAATAGTTAATCAATCGAATACGCAACCTCAGTTTGATTGTGATATATATGTATGTTTTATCACCTTATAATTGTGTGGAATCACTGGACTGACTTGTCTGCACACCAATTTGATTCCATACTGTGACAGATCATACTCAGTCCATGATCTTGGATACAGCCCTGTATAATTGCATTTTGAACCATCTATCAGCCATTTCCAACTACTCAATCTTTGTGACTTTTTCCTAATCAACATAAAACATTAATCAAATGCAAAATTCTATGTCCATTTTTCTTACTCATAGGTGGATAAGACACTTTGAAAAACTGTATTCTGCTTCTGATCCTTGATTGTAACAATGAACTGATTTGCATCCACTGTTTCATACTCATACAAACCAGGCCTCAGCTGGAACCTACAGAATTCACCCTTGTATCCCCTTCCGATTGTCCCACAGCCAATTCCTCCAATTGGTACACCTAAAAGTAATTGAGTCAGTAAACTTAATACATCAATATTTTCTTTATTAACAATGCACTCACCGTACATTTGCTTTGACCTCTGCATGGATAAAAAATCCATTATCGGTTTTCGCCCTTGCCATTTCAGCTTGATATAATACAGGATATATCTAGAAGAAAAGTTTTAGCTTCTGCATAGCGCATTTAACCTTAAAACTATTTACCGGATGCTGAGGAATATGAGCTGCAGAAACTGCCTGAACGTGGGAATCCTCTCCTGGCACCTATTCTCCGGGAAAACGTTATTCAATTTGAGCTTCAACCCGTATTTGGGGACGGCGTTTACTTCCACCGCATCTACCATTTCGTCTCTCCCAATTTCAGTGCTGCTGTTGTAATGTTCACACTCTAATATCTAATATGACATAGTCATAGTAAATAGTCCAATGTTTTAAGTGTGAAAGCAAACCGCGATAAGGGGACCCGATAAATTGGCTAATTTTTATGCTACTGCTTGCTTATCACTCGTATCCACGCTTTATTATTATTGTACAGCGATTTTTTTTTTATGTATTTTCCTATTAAATTGCAGAACATGTGAATAATACTGATAGTTTCTTTCAACGTAGAGCGCATGGAAATGCAACAACAAGCGACCCAAGGCTAATATCGTTATTAATCGTGCTTAAATAATGCATTGCAATTATTACAACATCATCTATAAATAAATTTTCAAAAAAAAACGATCAAAGATCGAGCGCAGCTGTAATTGTTCAGTGGAATTTAAACTCTTACTCATACCTTTGTCATTATCATTAATTAATTTTCACCTCATTAATTACACTTTAAACAATTATAATTAATTAAGCTATATATATTTCAATACACATCTCAAAGTTGTAAAAAGAGATTAATGTTACTATTAGATAATCCACTTTTTGGAGGTCTACCTAAAAATTTAAGATTATCTAACCAGACAATATTATCGCGAACAATCATTGAAAAATTTATGAAAAAATGTAAAAAAAATAATAACAATTAGCTATTATTTATTTTACAGATATAAATTTCAAATATTTTGTTTTAAATCTGGACTATCTTGGAAGATGCAACTTTGTAAAGTTGTATCATTCAAAATATAATAAATAATCATAATAGAAATAATTGTAATAAGTGAACATATATAGCAAATAAGTAAATGTATAGGCAACCAAATATACCTAGATTCTGTGTATATTCCAATAAATCAATGAAGAAATCTAATTAGATGAATAAGCAAAGTTGATTTTTGCTTTTTAATACCTAAACTTATTATAGTCAGTAATTCGTTTTTCTTTTTCCTTTTTAAAGTTTCTTTATTGAAAATTATGTGTAATTAAAAGTTGTTTCATTGAATCTCTTATGTGATGGATTGTTGAATCATCCGAGGAAATTCATAATAACTAAATGTAGAAGTGCATGGGCAAACATGAAGTCAGCAAAGCCTCTCTCTGCACTCAAATCTTTGAACTGCTTCCTGTTCTCTGGATTGCATTGGATACGTAAACAAACTACAAGAAAAAAACAACAATTAAATGATTGAAAGTTTTTGAAGAGTGAGTATTTACCAGCCAGGATGAAACTGCTGACTGTGCTCAAGAAACCGCTGAGGAACGAATTGAATGGAAATGTGCCCACTAGTAAACAATAAATGAACTGGATGATGCCTGTGAGTAGGATGTAAAACAGGTATGCATCGATTATCTTCAGCTCCCTCGACGTCTTCGTGTTGTATTCCTTGTAGAATTTCGATATTACCGTCCCTACGTTAGCCATTTCGTTCAAGACTTTATTTTACACAAAAACAACGAATCCAAACCAAAATCCAACTGGAGGACGTCACTTTTGACAACCGGCTTCCAATTGATGCGTTGACAAAGCACTGCTACCAATGACCAAAGATTATAAAGAAAATCACCAAAGACTTTGACAACAATTTTATGCAACTTCTTATACAATTAAGTCTTCAACGTCTGCATAAGGTTATTCTCTGTGTTTACCTTTTTGATTGATCAAAAAAGAAGTACCTTTGAAAGATCAAAAAAGAAGTACCTTTGAAAGATCAAAAAATGTAATACTTTCTCGTTAGTTTCTAATACGATTCACTATTGGAATTACTTATTAGTTACTTCATACAAACATTTTCAGTCTGAAGTTTTTATTTATAGAATCATCTGTGTTGTTTATATACAAGCAAGTAAGTAAAATTCTTTTAATAATTGATTATAATGGTTGTACGTTTTATACTAGGATGCCTAGCTGTTGTTGTGTCCATGGATGCAAAACTAATAAATACGATAATGTACGGATGAGGATATTTCCATCAGTTGATTCTCCATTATTTGAGCAATGGAAAATGGCTACAATGAATCCTTCACTGTTAAATATGGACAATCAGAAAATAAGAAAAAAAATGAAGGTGTGTAACCTTCATTTTTCTGAAAAGTATAGGTTGAAACCTGTATTCCTCAAATATGATTTTCCAAAGTTGACAGAGAATATTATTAAAGTAGAAGTGTTGCCTGAAAATAAGAATGTTGATCACATCAATAGAATTATTTGCAACAATATAACTTTCAATGATGATACTGATATTAATATGGATCACTCATACTGTACTAAAGTGGCTGAAAATAATGATTTTCAAATAAATTCGCATGTGGTACAACAAATGAGTGTTGATGAGAAGTCTGCTGTAAATGATATAAATGAACAGCAAAACCAGAGTATTAGCACAAAATTACATAGCTGTTTTACAGAGGCTGAAAATAATGATTCAGAAATAATGAGGAATTCCCATGAAGAAGATGTGACACCAAAAATGATTGTTGATGCAAAGGCTTTGGAAAATGTACGTAGAAGGACGAAATTGCTGAATAGACAATATTATTTAGAAAAACTGGTTAAGAAATATAAAGCAGAATGCAAGGAATTTTCAAATTTTAAAAACATGAACGGAAGCGTTCAAAATTTCTTTAGAAGCCAATTGCGCAATGCCGGAAAGAGAAGTCGTGGAGAAAATTATACTTTAGAAGATAAAGTTTTGGCTCTCAGTATTTACAAGCACAGTACATCGTGTTATAAATTCTTATCACGTATTTTTACGTTACCATCATTAACTACAGTCATGAACTTTAATAAACAAATTAAAATTGAGACTGGATTAAATGTTTAATGAGAATATATTTGTTAGTTTATATTTTGTATTTATTATTTTTATAAATTTGTATATTATTTGTTACTGTATATTGAAATATACTGAATAACTATTATGAATTGATACTTGATATACAGTGATTGGAAAGATTTCAACCCATTCAATTAACTAATCAATGGTATTATACTGTACAATTTATACACTTAAGTATAGAATAACTATTTAATTATCACTGACACCAACTGTAAGATATTTCATAGTTGGCAACAAATGGTACAAACAGTTGTATTTTCCATGTCAGCTGATGTTATGATATACTTTTGAAAATACTTTTATTTAAGTATTGTGAGAAGGATCAATGTTACCTGGGTTAAATATTATACCAAAGTATCTTGAGTATCATTCTTATTGGATTACACTGTATTGAACATGATGAAGAGGAAAAGGTCCTACAATTTTGAGCAATCCGAAAACAATTTGCTGATTGATCTTTGCTTGGATCACAAAGATGTAATTGAAAATACTGAAACAAGTGATGTAGCAGTGTTGAGGCAGCAGAGTGAAACATGGATAAAGATCATGAACATTTTCAATGAGAGAAGTGGGAAACATCCAAGAACTGTGGAAGGTATTGTTGCAATTGAAGATATATAATTCATATTTGTTTATTATAAATCCAGCACTCCAGACTAAACACGAAGATAACAAGGAATACTACAAACAGTATGCTGAACATGAACAGAAATTACTTGCAATTTTCAATAATTCTTCCCTTGAGCCAGTGGTGGACAGTGACATGCAATTTAAACAATTAGGTATGTTACAAACACATAAATGTGTGTTTAATAAATTATTTAATTTTTAGTTGTTGAAACAACCCATGATGAGAATGAGCATAGTGATATATCAGTGGTATTTATTACAATAATTAATTTATTAAGTACATCTTTTATGTTTTTCAGGAAATTACTCCTAAGGCACTGGTAAACTCTTTTATGGATAATAAAGACAATACAACAGAAACTGACGAGGAATCTTCCAATCCAGAGGTATTTTTTTGTAGATGTATTACATTTTCTTTATAACATTGTGTGTTTTGTAGAATGTTTCATCTAACAAACCAGGCAAGTCTTGCAATGTTCCTGAGCAGAACGGAGATGGACAAGCGCGCTTGTCCGATTTGGCTGATCGAAAGAGCGAGTTGGTTGCGCTGCAAATAGAGATTATGAAGCAGGAATTGCAGTCAAAGGAGAACGACGAGAAACGCAAACGAGAATTGCACAAATACGATCTTCTTCTCGTGCAGCAGCGAATAGAGAACGAGAAGAACGACGCGCGGCGGAGGAGCGAGCTTCATGGATTCCAGTTGGAGAAAGAGAAACTCGAATTGTTATTATTTTAAAATTAATATATACTCTGAATTTTATTTATTATAATATATTTGCGTTTAAATTAAAATATATCACATTCAATTATCATAACTATAAAAATAATCTATGTCAAAATGATGGTGTAATGGGATGCCAGCCAAATGGGACAAAATGGGAGAAGGATGTCTTTGATTCATATGTCGTATATGTTTCTGAAAAAAAGGAATATAGTGACATGGTATTAAAGCATTCGGGAAATGACTTAATAAAAGTTAAATCTACTTAAAATATAAAAAATACTTGGATAAAATATTTTACATACACTTTTCGACAAATTCTAGTCGATTTCCAACATGCAAGTGCTGTAAAATAAATACAATAAAAATGATTAATTATCTGGAGTCATTGGATTTGCACGTTTTGTCCCCTTACTATTCACATGACAAACCTCTACGTCGATTCCTAAATTTAATAAGTACTTCATCCAGACGGACTGATTCGACGCAATTCTATCGCCATGACCCTTCACTTCCACAAATTTGCACTGCAACAAAGCAAAAAGTTCGAATGGATCTAATCAAAATCCGAACGCGAGTTGTTACTACCTTGCCGGTATCGCGTGTCCAGACGAAGAGATCAGGCATACCGCTTCGATGCTCCTTGAACGAAATCGCCAATCTACCGCAAATCATCGACAATGCTTTCCTGCCTAAGCAGACCATCGCATCGAAAATTATCTCCGTGTTGCTGAGTATCTCCAACGAACATAATCCAGTGTAATGGTTGGAATGCAATTTCAAATGTTCGTACATAAACTCTGTCAACTGATTGAACGTCCAATTTTCAGCGATGTCTTGCAGCCGTTTATCGATGGCCGATTTTCGATTCGTGTAGAAGTCCGGAGTGAAGAAATCCAATGGGAGCGTCTGAATTTCGCTGACAAATGTTTGCGGTACATTGATTTCGTATATGATGTCCCAAAAGAGTATGATGTAAATGGTCACCATTAGCGATCCCTCGCAGTGAATCGCTCTGTATCCTTGCGAAGCATAATGATTTATGGTAAACTCTTCAACGCTTCCAACCACCGTAGCATCTTCAGTCTCATACGAATAAATAGCTTTATGTCCCGGACCGAAACTGAAAAATCAATTTACAAATATGTTTTCTTTTAATTATATATATATAACTGTAAACCTACTTCGAAACAGCTGTTCCAAAAATTTGTATTGAGGGAATTTTGGGAGACTTCGATGGCAGCAGCTGAGCTAAACGCGTGCAAAGTGCTTCGCTTGCGCGGTTTTTCTTCCTTTTGATTAACGCATTGGCCTTAATCCACAAATCTTCGATTTGAATGTCATTGATATAAGTACAATTCAATCCCTCCAGTAAATATTGAGCAGCCTAGAATTAGGGTGAATATGAATAAGCGGTTAAATTGAATAGTTAAAAAATGGTTACCTTATCAATATCTATAAAATGTTTGGTATAAATTGTTGCGATCTGGCCGTACCAATTGCCACGTTTGTGATGGCAGTATTTATTCTGATCAAGCAACGACTTTAAAATCGGTAAGATAATATCATGTTCCTTGGGAAAATCTGAGCAAAACCTAGACAGTAGAGCTATGTATATATAACCAGAATTAAATCTGTCTAAAAAGTTATTGCGTGCTTCAGTTTTTACGATTTCTTGGAAATTGCTATAAACCAATTTTCCAATCTCCAATAAGATTTCAACCTTACTTTTCTTCTTCTCGCTATATTTTTCATAATCTTGATAATACTCCCATGCAGATGAATACCTTGACAAATAAAAAAAAACATAAATATTTCAAATTATAACATTCCTTATAACATTCACTTACATAGCAAATGATTCCTTATCAAATATTTTTTCAGCATGAACAGTGTAGGACGGAAGAATGATGTCCGCGTTGTTAATTTTATCCATAAACTGTTGCAACTTAAAAGTACTGTTCAAATCTTTATTTGTAAACGAGTATAGGAGATGTAGTCTAAACAAGACCGTGTGAAATCCATGCGTGAGCTGAATACAAGGTCCTATCTTTTCCCTTAAAATACTCGATTGGTCACTAGTTAACGTCGTCTGAGATTTACAGTAGTTAAGTATTGACCAAATTAATTGATTTTTCGTCATCCTCTTCATGTGCTTAATTTTAAAATCCTTGTGCATAGTTTTAAGATCCTCAACTGTCAATAAATCTAACAGCGTATAGAAATTTTCAGTTGTGTAATCTTAAATAAAGCAAATAAGAATCATATTTTTTTTTAGATATATTGAACCATAATATTACCTGTCGTTACAATACCCTTCTCTGATAATGTGGTTATCATGTAACATGTAGTTTTATCCTGAGGCATTTTGATATCGTTTAAAAATTTCAATATGTTTTGCCATTTTGATTGCCGTGTAAATAGTTTGTAACAGAAAAACTGATAATCATCAGGCAATGAAAAAAAAACATGCAGTAATTGAATCTCCCCGTTATAAAGCAGATTGTATAAATAAAAATGTTCAATTACATATAGCATAATTTTCTGCAAATAGGATTTTTTTGAAGAGTCGTATAGTAAAGTTTGAAATTTATCCACAAATTCTGACTTGAATTCCAAAGCTTCATCACATTTCTCAGTTTTCATCAATCTGTTTTTGTAGTCTTCATTCTTCTGCATGCTATCAATATATTCTGACACACACACTATATCATCATTCTCATTACCAGTATCTGATGTTGTCTCATTATTCCCAACATCATCATTTGGCTCTTCTTTTATTGAGGTTATTACATCAGGACCTTCGAATTCTAATTCACTTGTTTCATGCTGCTTACAATTAATCTCCTCATTTGATTCCACATCTTGCTTAACTTTTTTCGGTGGAGTAGTGCTCAAACTAGTTGTGGCATTTCTCTTCACATTAGTATCATTGTTTAATGAAGACACATAATTTGAAAAGTTGAAATTATCCATGTTTTTAGATATAACTTTTGGCACTGACCTCTCAAACTGCACTTTCTCAAATTGTTTCAAATTTTTGGTCTTGTTTACTGCCAGGCACTTAACATCTTCATTTGTTTTCTTTTCAATTTTGCATTTCAGTTCATTTGCTAATAATCTCTGTTCGCTGTTTTGAACCTGCGTATTCTTTTGTTTACGTTTGACCGATTTTGGCGCCCTTACATCAGCTGTTGGAGGGGACAACTTTGATACATTGAAGAAATCAGATATTTTTTTCTGAACATGTGTCTTTTCCCTCCCTTGCATTACTTTATATAAACAAAGATTGTTTTACCAGTCTGACTGTTTCTCAGGGATACCAAAGACGCTAGTGATTTACTGCCTGAAATGAACAAGTTTTCATCAAGAATAGTCTGGTACAGAACACTTTGATTTTTTTTAGCGAAATGGAATGTTAGAACGAATGATCTTTAACATATTAAACACCTTACCCGATTAATTGAGTATTATTACCAAGAAATAACCACTTTCATTGCAATTAATCTGATGTTCTCCGTTTCCTGTTGCCGCCCAAATAACAAATGAACAATGGCTTGCAATGACTGCATCAATAGGTATTTATGCAACTAGTTATGCTTGGATAACCTCTATTTAGTGTCGAAAATACTTGGGATGTTTTTCTACACATACCCATACATCTGGAGGTCTTTTAAAACTTAAGTGCAATCGAACCAAAAAGTTTGAGAAACACTGCTCTATCATGCAAATTTATCATTTCCATTTCAGAACAAATAGAACATTAGTATATCGATGTAATTGCTGTTAACAAATACTTGAATGTTAATATTCTATCAATATTCTACAAGTTTTGATGGGTAATATAAAATTAGTAATATTTTTACATAAACTGAAATAATTTTGCAATGCGTGTATCTTTATTAAATATTGATAAACTTTAAAAAATATAAAAAAAAACATGAAAAGCAATATTCGCGTATATTCGCATAATTCATCTTAATGCGATTTAATCGGATTTCGGGACGTAGGACAACACGACGGTGTTGTGCGGCGCCATTGGGAATCCAGAAGACGTATGTTTCATTCTATAACAAAAAAAAATTAATTGCATGTCCCTAAGTGTGCAAGTTACAATGAAAACTTACTTCAATGAAACACCTTCAGTAGGTATCTTGATATATTGAACGGTGACTTCATCCGCTACCTTCGGAACCTCTATTAAGAAATCGACGACGACGAGCTCATCTGTTGGATTAACAGCGACTATGAAGCCTGGATTGCCGGAGTGTACCCTATATTAAAGTGTAAGAAATATGTATTAATATCAAATATAATTTATATATTTTTTTATGGTTCGACAAATGCTAAAGCAAAACTACAATTTTCTCAACTTGTTACTTGGACTCACCATTCCCTGATTATCCGAATAAATTAATTTTGTTAGACATACAAGTGGAAAAGATGGAAAAAATGGATTAATAAATGTGTTATTGGTGAGATGATTTAATACTCAATTTACCTGACATAGGCGAATACGGTTCTGTTTGCCATAAGATGGGTTTGTTGAGAACCGAAAATGATGGATGCTGATTTACGGACTTCCTTCAGGTCCGCCTCGATCTTCGTGTCCTTATTTAATATCATGGAACCCTTGAGCAGGTACGCAACTGCGCTCAGATCAACTGAACTTTCATTCGATACCTGCCACATTGGCCAATTGTGTTCCAAGAACTTGATGCTCGCATCTAACCTATCCTTCAAGTTTTCTGCGGTGCTGATTTCCTGCTGGAACACGTTCGAATGCTTCGGCAAATCCACGACCAACGTGCTATTAACTTTGAATGGTTTCAAAGTTTCCAAGTTCTCGGCCAGCATAAAGACGCCAGCGTTGTCTGTCTTGTTCTTAATCAGATGCCTCCACGGCTTCAGAAGGTCTCCCAACTCGGGAAGGTACTCCGTTTTGGTGTGCATGTAGAAGTCATAATGATTTTGTGAGATGTCGCTCGGCTGCTGTTTGGGCGTTTCATCGACCAATTGGGAATTGACCAGTAGATTCGGAGCTCCGTTCAGTCTAATGCCTTTCACACCAGCATCCAAGAAGCCCTCCAAAACTTTAGTGAATTTATCAACAACAGCAGGCTCACGGAAATTCAGATGCGGAAGACCCTCTGGAGAAAAGTAGAATTGCTTGCGGGCATTATTAAATGTCCAAGCGGTTTTCTTCTCGTTATCGTTTGAGTCCTTTGCCAACCAATTGTTCGGTGGCTTACTTTCCGAACCATCTGACCAAATGTAAAAGTTTGCGAAGTCCGCATCCTTAGTTGCCGATTGATTCAACCACATCTGAGATACGGATGGTTTCAAATCAACGATAACATTGATATCCAACTTCTTCGTCAGATTGAGGAAAGCCATGAATGGACCTGTAGCATTCAACTGCTTGTACGTGTCTCCAGGATAAGGTATGATAACGCCAGTAAATCCTTCGTCCTTCAAGAGCTTCAAGTCGTCAACGGTCCATGCGGTATCGCCCAAAGAGACTTCGGTCAAAGGTCCTTCTTCCCACCACGTCTTTGGCTCTGGAGGATCGCATTTAGGTGCGGACACAATGATCATCACTGCACCGACCAACATACCGGCCCACAGAGCCCAGAACAAGATGAACAAGAACCACCTCAATCTCACCCAGAACGGATCGTTGGCATATTTCATGAGCTCCTCCTTGCCCATTCCAACGAATCCAGTCTTGATTTCGCCTAAAACAATATTAATATGAAATACAAGCAAATTCAAATGCACGAAAACTAATTACACGGACAATCCAAGTCTATCACTTCCATTTTAACACTACAGAATGAAACGTCTGAATGTAATTCTGCTTATAAATAGGTACCGTTCTTTTCAGTTTCATTTTTAATTAGTAAGCAAATTCGATTCTTTTGTAAGCAAATATCACATTACAATATCATATTTAACAAAAGCGTATTCTCATTTTTCATTATTATTTCTTTCATCCTATTATCAACAAAACAAATTAAAATAATAAAAAACAGTTAAAGTTATCTGTTACATCCATAAGAATTAATGAATTATAATAATCATCATAGTGCTTCAAAAAATCTATAAAATTAATTACAAAAGTAATTAAATGCTTGACATTGACATTACTAATAATCGTTTTGCATTTGATAAAATGCTATCAAATGCAAAACGATTATTATCAAATTTTGATTACATCACATTTGCGCTTATCAGAAACCATATAAAATTTATATGGTTATTGTGTTGTTTACTGCAGAAGAGAGCGTTCAAAGATGTAATCATCTGCCTAGAAACAGAATTATTTGAACAATGAACTAGTTCTAGAGATTAAATTGCATTCCACGGTTGATTCTTATAAGAGTTTATTGATTATAAACCACATTCGATCTAAAAAAAAAACACTCGAAACGCTAACGGCAATAACGTAATCTATTTGACCTTAAAGTAAGTACAGTGCTCCCAAATGATACAGATCTATAAAGATTAATAATTCTATACTAAATACGTTTTACATAAGATTTCATCCACGATGTAGTACTATCATTTATACCGCAATCGTCAGATTTTTTCATTAAATTACGTAAATCGTTAAAAATTTTGTAGGAAATTTAAGCACTTACAAACAAAATACTATTGATGCAATAAAACGTTTATCAAATAAAATAATCTATTTGCGCTTTAAAGTACATTCAAACCATGCAATCAAGAAATGTAGATTTAATAGAATAAATACTGCTGCCTTTTTAACAGATCACGATAACTTATCTTAATTCTTTTCAGAATATTTCGGTGAAACGCGAAACTTTAGAATATAATTTTCTACATTCTATATTTAGAAATATGTTAAAATTCTTGTTCACCATAGTTAAACTAATTTTTACTTAAAGTAAGCAATTTAAATTAATTATCTAATAAGCTGTTAAGATAGAATTAGCAAAGTTGGCTTTGCAATTATGATGAAATTTTCTGTGTCAATCAATAAGCAAGTTGGGATGATGCAATATAAAGAAGTTATTAAAAATATATAAGAAAACATAAAAAAAATTAAATAAAACTGAATGAACAAATTACTTTCTAAATTTGCATAGCAACTAATCAATAATTTAAGTAACTGTTTTAATATTTTTTGGTTATATGACAATATGGATGATGCAATGGGATTTGTACATGAATTATATATATATATTATATTTATACATACCAATATCCAGTTTGGCATCCCCATTCTGTTTATCGTTGCTTGTGAATTTGACTTCAGCAATGTTAATATTGGAGCTAAGCTTTTTGTCCTCGTCAGGCAACATCCTCTCATCAGCACCATCAAGTTCACTGTTGGTGGTTTCCTTGATGAGGCTCTTGGGCCGTGCAGGTACTTGATCTACATGGAGAAAACAGGTTAATACAGTTACTGCAACTCTCTTCTTTTCCTCTTGTTTATTTGTAATTGCATTCTGCTGATTGGTTGCAATTGGGTACACTTACCTTCCATGTCGTTCTCTGGTAATTGCTTGTACGTTGCCGTGGGCGAATGAGTCTCGTTTGGTACCTTTGCTCCGGATATTTCCAGTTTAGTCCCTTCCATTGTGGTGAATCGTTCTTTCTTCTAAAATCGTTGCTCTCCTTTTGTTAACGACGACACCCAGTCCACTCTCACACAGAAAAAAAATATGCTCGGACCCCCAAGGTGAAATCAATACACAAAACCAGATCGCAGCGCCTTTTCTCACGCAACTCCGATCCTCTTAGTTTCCCCTCGTACTCACAAAACTGTTGATCATGGAATGAGAACGATTTTTTGTCAACCAAATTCGACCTCGCTTAACAATCTAATCACCACAATTACCAACTATTCAATATATATCATTACTACCAATTACTATTTTAATTTTACTAAATTTTACACTAAATAAATAATGTAGAACAAGCATAACTTTATAGTTCAATCAATTATAATCAATATTTTTATATCAACATTATATTATACAATAGATTAATAATTATTATTATTGTTTTATTTTTTTTGTATAGGCAACTAATTTATCATGTTATAATTATTTATTTTTATTTATTAATTAACATTTTGTTATTGACACTAATCCAGACCAAATCGTAATATGTCTGTTCTAATACTTATTAATTTGTTACTTTCATCATTATTATTAATACCAATAAAAATGAATCAACCTATTATTATATAATTCTTTCTCAAGCAATCAGCACTAAGGAAGTGCGCAATTTAACTCTCAAATCAAGTTATACTAGTGAATGCATGCTACAAAAGCAGATACTTTCTTTTCGACTTGCTTTTAATAAAGCCATAACGGTCAATTGGTCAAAACTCATAGAGGCAAATCCAGTGGACTTTAGAACTAGAAAGGAAAAGTTCAAATCAATTTCAATCAACAAACTAATACTAAATATACCCATTTCGAGACGTACTTTTTACAGTTATATAAGCATTATTTTAAATAGTATAAACTGTTGCTTACATTACTTGTTCCAAATAAAACTACATTACATATAAAATTTTAAATATTTAAATTTCGTTTATAGAAAATGGCGTCGAACAATTCGTTTATAGGCAACTAATGTTACACCCATGCTTCACACGTCCTATAAACAATCAATGAAATATTTAATAAAAAATGTTAATTTAATATTACAATTTTCATTACGTTAAGTTTATAATAATTATTTTTCATTTAACTGTTTTCATTACTTAAAGATCAAATATGTTTATAAACAACAGAAAAGCAGATTGTTTTTTTACATGAATTAATTTGATAGAAAACTTAAGCAACTCAATTTATTTGTTATTGTTTTTAACATTTACTTATAATTGAAAAAAAAACTTTCAATACTTTGGTTTTATATCGTTAATTACCAACGAACAGAAGAATAATAAGATAATTGTATTATTCATTCATTTTCATGTTAAGACATTGTTAATTTTTCTATTTGTTGTACATACTTATTTTTATATGATCTTACTTACTATATTACATACAAAGATAAAAGTTCGTAAATTTGTAAGAATTAAAGAGAAATTTCTACTTATAATTATTGATGTATCTAAGGAACAAACAATTATATGAAATGTATCAATGAATGAGAAAATAATTATGCTTTGTTTTATGAACGTTTTGTATTTCTCTTAATGACGTCGTTTAAATTCAAAGCGTAGTCATGTTTAAAGATAGAACAACAAACACTTAGTTATCAGTTATAAATAGAATAATTATTTATAATTTTACTGAAAAATTCTTCGAAATAATTACATAATTCTTTCCCTAATTTCGAAGTAATTACGTTGCTCTGAGAGACAACAATAATGCAACGATTACGTGAACTGTTTTCGACATCAACATGGTATTATCTCAGTCGAATGATAACCAAAGCAAATATTATGTTGACCTACAATAAAAAAAAGAAGTTATAAAATAATTTATTTAAACGATTTTGTTATTACTTAAAGGAAACATATTTCTTTTTCTCATTTTATTCACGTATTTATTTGTGATTCAAAAAAACACAATTTTGTTGTATGTTAAATTTTGCGATTTCAGGACTTTATTGAATATATATTTTGATAATAAAGGTTTGTTTAATTGCAAATATTGGTATGAGGGTTGAGGGTTGTTCGAAAATCTTTTGGTATTGCCGTTGAACGCACGGAATGCGAACTGTCGTTAGAATTTATTGATTTTCTGGTCCTCTTTCCAGAGGCGGTTTTTTTTTTGGTTAGGCTCCGCTGAAGCGGCGCTCCGGAGGGCATCGTGAATTAGTGGAAATCGCGAGGCGCAGAAAAACCTGTTAAAACGAAACAGGTATTTATTTAAATGAAAAGCGGCTCGATTTGCATCACAAACATGAGCGAATCAAACGGAGACGTGTTCAGCAGCTCGAAACCAGTTTATCTTTAGCTCTCAATACAATCGCACAAACCACCATCATCATCACATCCATCCAACTCTCGCGCGACGACATCCACTTTACGCAGTTAAAAAACACTTCCACTGCAAAGTGCATATATTCGCACAGGATTCCGAAGAGGAAGAAACGGGAATCGAAAGGAGAGATGTCAGTCATCGGAAAGGTAAGTGGACACCTCTGAAAAGGAGACGACTGACCTCTAAAACACGCAATTTTCAGCCCGTTCTTTACTCGTACTGGAGGAGCTCATGTTCGTGGAGGGTTAGAATTGGTAACTCTTAAACAACATCCTCACATTCATCCATACTAATCCGTATTTTTTTTTATGATTCAAGCTCTGAACTTGAAGGAAATCCCATACGACATAAAGCCGGTGTCGTTGATCAAAGCCGGCGGAGAACAGCACTCGAACGAATTCCGGGATGTGAACCCCATGGAACAGGTTCCGGCTCTTCACATTGATGGAAACACTCTGGTGGAATCGTTGAGCATCCTGCATTACCTGGAGGAGACCAGACCGCAGAGGAATCTTATGCCACACGATTTCGTCAAACGTGCAAAGGTACATCTTAACACTCTTTTTTGTGTTTCTTTTAGTCAAACATCTAAAACAAACCTGTTTCTATCTAATGACATTCAAGAATTTTCATTCACGCATAATTAGATAAGCTATTAGTATTCACTTTTGCATTGCTGTTGCTTAACGACAACTGCACAACACATCAGACCATATTTTTTTAAAAACTTGTTCTATGAATATGCATTTGCATAATAATACGGTTTTCGATGCGTGTAAAATTGAGAAACTAAGACAAAATTAGCATTTTTTGGGAAAAAGAAATTTTAGGTTTAAAGATTTAGATGCAGACAAAAGTGAGAAGAAATAGAAACGTAAAGTCCATTTAACTTCTACTTGAAACTTATACACAAATTATGATTTTAATTAAATTTATGTCATATTTCATATTTGTCGTAATTTTACTTGAAACTGACATTGTTTCAGAACCAAAGCTTTGATGATTTTAATTAGCTTTATTATTTTATACAATTAAATTAAGTAAAAAGCATAGTTTGTGTTGAAATAACAACTTTTTTTTTTGTTTCAATATTAATAATGTTAATAGTTGAATCATTAGAGAAAATATTGTCATATTCATTTCAAAATTGATAAATCAATAATATCAAAAATCTTTGAAAGACGCTTTGTAAAGATAATTTGAAAATGTCATCATCATTAGCTTTATAACTTGCAACTTTTCCCTAACTTGACTTAAATCTTACTTTAACAATTTTTTCAAAGAGTTTAACTAGCTGTTGTTTACAACAATACAGTTGATATAGTAACGTGTGTATCGTGTCAATAATTTAATTGATTAACACTTTCAAGTCTATTTTTTTTTTGGAAAAAATACAAAATAATGAAAATTATGTTTTGGGGACTTTATGTAATTGGGACAAAAGGTTAATAACATTAATAAAACAATAAAAAATCTGTTTTATCTTTATTCTTATAGGCAAGAGAAATTTGCGAAGTGATAGCATCCGGCATCCAACCGCTTCAGAACCTCATCGTGCTGATCCACGTCGGCGAGGAGAAGAAGAACGAGTGGGCCCAGCACTGGATAAACCGCGGTTTCAGGGCCGTCGAGAAGCTTCTGTCGGCGAGCGCCGGGAAGTACTGCGTCGGCGATGAGATCTCCATAGCGGACTGCTGCCTCATACCGCAGGTCTTCAACGCGCGGCGATTCCACGTCGACCTCCGACCGTTCCCAATCATCCTCAGGATCGACAGGGAATTGGAAAACCATCCGGCATTCCGTGCAGCTCATCCCAGCAATCAGCCGGACTGCCCACCAGAAGCACCCAAATAAAATAAACAACAACAACAACAACATAAAAACAACACCGGTCGAACATAATTTCGCTTCATAAGATTTTCTATTAATTGATATGTTTTTTTTTCGTTTTAATTTTTTGTTTTGTTTACATTATGTGTTACACCAACTTAGTACAAAGAGACGTGAAGGGAGACGACTTTCCTCGCATCTCGAGCGCAATACTTGTACATTCACATCAGCTTCGTTCGCTTTCTTTACATAGCTTTTCTACGTTTTCCTTTATTATATAACAAACAGAAATCTATTTAGAACTTTTAGAGATTTTATCGTTCCCTCGAGCTCAAAAGTACGCATTCGAAATTAATAATCGCGAGGGGACTTCCCTATTTTTTAATTACCTACTTGTATGTTTTTTGTTCGTTCAGAAGAGACATATTTTTTTATATATCCGTGTGTGTAGGATGCTTTTTTCTATTGAAATCGACGAAAGAGAAGTTTATTTAAAAAAAAATAAATTCTTATATATATATTACGAATAATAAAAAAAGAATTATATAAATAACAATAAATATTATATTATATAAATGTTTATATATATATAAAGAGAGATAAATAAAGAAAAATATGTATTATTGACTCACTTATTTTGTGACCCTTATAAAAATTAATAGAAATAAATTGAAAATTTTCATAATTTTTTGATTACAAATAAATTCCGACTTTTTTTAAAACAAATATTTATTATATATTTAGTTCTAAATATCTCCTAATTTGTTAAAGTTGATCTGTTAATAAGGAAAAACAAAATATTTAGGAGATTGGGTTAATTATTTGTAAAGAAATCGAAATAATCGACAGTTTTATTAATAAAGAATGATTAAATTTTATTTGCATACATTTATATATTATTTTTTTGTAACAATTTATTGGAAGAGCTAAAAGTTAAGTCAAAACTTTCATTATTATTAATTCACATCTCTTCTAGTTTGTTTTTCTCTCTCAATATTTATTACTAAATCACGATTTTCGTTATTCCTAATAGAGAAATAGCGAGAGCATTTAAAGATAAGACAAGTATATTTCTTAAGATAAAACTATTATAAAAGCACCTCTTACCTTTAATCCTTTTCAAATCTTCATCACAGATGGAATCAAAACGGAAGGTTTCACAGATTATCGATCCAATAAAAACAAAAATCGAACCTCTCCATCAATCATAATTACCCAATATTTCTCACAAATCAGCCTTTGCTCCTTTATTATCGAAACAAGTCTCAAATACAAACAAAGTTACTCTTCATAAAAAAAATCTATATATATACGTATATAAAAAAAATGTAATAATAATCGGGAAAAAAAAAATAATCATTAGAACAAACTTAACAGATAACAAAAAAAGAATTAATAAAAATTTCGGCTCCAGAGAGAGAGAAAAAAAAAACAATAATTTAAATGAAATTAGAGAAAAAAAATAATTATTTAGTAATTAAAGAACAAACATAAATGAGAATGAGAACTGAACTTGAATCTGACTAGAATCCTTCTTTTCTTATATGTATTTTTTTTTTTTCTGCTTCTTTATTTTCTCTTTTTTTTCTTTTTTCATTCCAATCAAAGAGTGCGTGGACGGAAACTCAAGAACCAAAAAAAAAAATAATGATGAAATCAACCCTAACAGTTTACATAATATCACAAAAAGTCTTCCACGATGCGCGATGACTTGCATAGATGGACAGAGATAAAGAGATTTTACATAAGTAGAAAGGAATGTTTGTGTATGTTTGAGCTTTTCTTTCGCACATAAAGGATGAAACAATGTGTCTTAAATACCTGCAAAACAAATAGTAAAACGTAAACAAAGAAAAAACAAAACAAAAAAGAGGATGGAATGATGTGTGTAGGAGGTCAAATCGATTGAGAAAGAGAGAGAGAGAAAGAGATGAGAATGGATGGAATGCATGTGATGAGTATAAAAAAAAAACAAAAATGAATATACAATGCGATACTATGGCACTATGGATTTTATTGAATAATGTGTATTATTATTATTAATATTAATTATTATTAATATTTCTCATAGTATATTAATAATATTATATATCGATTTTCTTTTGCGTCAACGTTTTCTCGAATCATGCTTCATCTGTTATATATAATGGTTTTCTTTTGTTTTCTTTTTGTTTCATATATCCCCAAATACGTTCGACAAAGTTGTCATAGTGAACTACAAACAATGGTACAATCTGTCAATAACAATGTATATATTTCATATATATATATATAATATAATATTTATATCAGGCCCTTGGAAAAAAGTCAGGGAAAAAGCTCCCCCAAGGTCCTGTAACCACTTACAAACGACAAAAAGATTAAAAATATTAATTAATTTAAAAAAGAAACAACAATTAAATGTATTTCAATTAAAATCTAACCACTTCTTCTTCTTCTTCTCTGATTTATTTTTGTTGTCGTCGTCGTACGCTTTTGTTTATGCTGACTTTGATCACCATACCATTATTATAAAGAAATAAAGAATAAAAACCCGTTTGATTATTACAACATTCACAATAGAAACAAAAGAAAAAGTACAGAAACAAAAATAATCATATTTATATATATATAATATATTATATAATAACAAACAAACAATCATCATAATCATCTTCATTCAGACACAAATCACATATCGACCACCTCTCGCACTTCCAAGAGAAAAATTGGTAACATATTAATCCTAAGGTCCTCTCCGACAAGAGGGAGAGTTTACAGAATTAGATAATCCATCACCGTTTCGTGTTTCAATTGATTTTACGTTTATCGTTTACATTTCATTATTATTATTTTTATTTATATTTATTATTATTTCTCTTTTTTTTTGCAATTTTTTCCTGTTTTTTTTTTGAAGAAGAAGAAACGAAATAACCCGCTCCTAAACTACTACGACTGCCACTAATACTCGCTACCCAATTATGTCTAAATCGTTTTTTTTTTTCTAAATCGATGGGATTCTCCAATTTCCCCGGCAAATAAAAAAAATTAAACACGCAAAAATTAATTTAAAAATAATAATGTATAGATAACTGACGGAACCGAAGGATAAAGCAAAAAAAAACAAAAAATACGTAATGACTAAAAGCCGATTGGTCGGTTGCACTTGTTGTTACACGCCTTCGAGACATCAATCAAACAAAATTAATAATACGGAAAACAAATGCAACCGATCGAGCGGACAGTGTTTAAAGTATAACAAATAAAGCGACTTAAAAAAATATATATTTTGTTTTCATATATATATATAAATCGTATCTGAACAATAATAATAATATTCATATTACATATACCATTCACTAAATAGGACCGTTAGAAACGTTTTCTATGACTATGACCAAAGTACTGACTAAATTAAACGAAACAGTAGTAAATAAAGTAAACAACGAATAACTAGATTGACTCATTTAAAAAGTAACAACGAATAATGAATTAGAAAAAGAAGAAAGGTTGAAATTTCGATCGAACGTAATAAGAAATAAACCTACGGGTTAAAAATATCGATAGAAAGAAAGAAAAAAGAAGTGATGTATAATTATTTACTTAATAATATACGCTCCACATTTTTGTTTCCTCTCTTCACTTTTACTTCTTTTGTGTATATTTAAGTAACATCTCTTTTATAATTAATTAAATTATTATTTTCGTAGATTTAGAATACGCACATCGTTTATATATTATGTAATAGAATTATATTTAAAACCTATCTACAATGAAGAATAGAGTTTGTGTATTTTAATGTTTCGTCGAACCATTTATATATTTTGTTTTTTCTAACAAGATTTATTTATTTATTTATATTTATTTAAATATTTTCTCTTCGATAACATTTGTTTATTTTCATTTTTTTTTTCTTTAAATATATTTATTTATTTATATATATAATATACGTTCTGAGGATGTCCTCTCTTTTCTCAATAATGCTTCAAACTATGTACATGGTTGATTTGAAACCCCGAATATATTTTTGAATGATTCGAAAATGGCAAGCAAATGGGATTGTTGTTGTTGTTGTTTTCGTAGCTGTTTGCTTTGAATCGAAACGAATGGTGGTGGTTAATGAAAAACAACACGAGCTCCAAGGAGATCTCGTAGCAACGCTTTGTTTTTAGTTTGTTCACATTTTGTTTTGTCTCGTTAATGCGCGACGATCCGGACCGAAAGCAGCAGCTGGGCGTGTCGTGGCCAGACGACGCCCACCGTTCACACGACGGACACCGAAGTTGGCCGACATTTGCTCAGTCCGGAACATTCACGAATCCAAAACAAAGTCAAGTTAAAACCAAAAATCGATCTTTTTCGCACTTTAAAACCTACACCCCCGCACATCATGTTATCACAGCAACAGTATATATTTTATAATATAATGTCCTTTCATATACACATTTTCATCTTCTTCTTCTTCCTCCTCCTCCACTTCATATATATATAATAATTATTTCTATTACATTTTAAACACATACGTAAAAGGAATTGCCAACGTCGGCACTACCCGAGAAACGAGAAAAGATAGATGTACAAAGTTCCTATATATTATATATGCTCGAGCAAAAGACTTCGATCCTGGAATATTTTTCAATTTACGTAAAAGCGGATCGATTGCACAGTTTATTTATTTGTTTTTGGTATTGCGCACATCTCCGGATCTACGCGTATCGCAACTTATTATCATTTATCTACCGCATTCACATTTTTTTTTACAATATCTAAAGGCGCCTGGTTTCACAATTTTCTCGTTTTGTTTTGTTTTGTATATTAGATATATGTGTATATATTTTCGAATTGCCGATGCGATTTCTGACGAAGCCTGTCTCCGAGGAATGCCGAAAGTATTTAACAAATTAAAGCAAATAAAGTAATACAGAAAAAAAATATACATCGGATCTTGCAGTCATTAAAATTTGATTCGTAGTAAAACAAGGATTAATAATATTTAAAATCGAGATTTGAACTGCTCTCGATTTCGGATTGCACTAACTAAACTAAAAACGAAAAGCTTCGTGAAAAATCGGGAGGCTTCGGAAAGAAAAGAAATCGTATTCCCAAACATCAACAATGTAACAACATGCGATAACAATAATAAATATCTTTTGTTTCACTTTTACTTTTTTTTTTATATATATATATAATGTATGTATGTTTTTATTTTTCTAATATATATATTTCTTTTTTTTAAATATATATTTTTTCAATATAGATTCTATGACAATGAAAAAAGACGGCTCAGGTTTGACTAAATCGAAAAGGAAACATAAGTAAAAACTATATCATAAAATGGAAATCCCCATGAAGCCCAAGAGCGTTGAAATGGGGCGTTCCACCTGGTGGCCGCAATTTTTTTTGTTTTAAATTTATCTGAGGCAAAAGACAGGTACAAATTATGTTTCCTTTTTTTTTCATTTCTCATCTATATAATTACACTTGATTTGATGATTCGCAAAACGAAAAGTTAAATAGTAATTAACAACAAACGCGAAAAGAAACACTGGCAGTGGTGCTATATGTTAACGTTGAAAAGAACGGCTATTCACGAACATCCGAGACGAGTGTTGCCGAAGATATTTGTTGGGAGGAAAGGCGGTACGAGCGGTGACACGCCCCGCGGTTCGTTAAGCACGATAAACGGGAACGATCGGATGAAGTCGGGATGAACTACAGCAAAGGTCCAGCCGCTAATTGTTTTATTCTCTCTTCTTCTTCTTCTTTAATGAGCTTTGATTGACTGGTGAAACATTCGTTTATTAGTATATACAACTAATTGCAGTCTTATAATAGTCGAAAATTGTCGAAAACGCACACGTACAGTAATATTAATACAAATAAAGCACTTTGATTGGATGTCGCCAATAACTGAAGACCGACTTCGACCGACCGCCTCCCCGTTTGCGCTGTTCATCGTCTAAACACAATATTATCAACAATATTCGTTTTGCTGTTATATTATACAAGTATCCTTCTGTTCTATCGAAAATCATACATACATACATACTTACATACACACATGACAGTAATAAGAAAATAAAAATAAAAACAAAACATCACTTTGCATCAATCAGATCATGTGACGTAACCCGCAACAGAAATAAAAAATAATAATTGAAAATAAAACAAAAAGATATAACAAGCCTAATTAATTTAAACAATTATAAACATAATATTATGGATCAACTAAAATATATATATATATATAGAATTTTCATCAATTTTCATATGTAAAAGAAAATTACAAATTATTTACAAGATTACATCGAGTGCGCTTCACGCATCGTGATTTCTCAATTGATGAAATAATAGAAGAAATATTTACAAGATACTCTCGAGAAACAAGGCAAAAATAATAATAATAAAAACAAACTATATATATTTGAAAACTCTGTACAATTGTAATAAAAATAAAAAATAAAAAATATATATCGTTTTTCTTCATTTTGGGAAAAGAAAGAAGAAAAAACAAACGAGAAATAGTTTAGACTGTTCAGAACAGTTTTGGTAACCAATCTATATATATATATAATCTTCTATATAGAATTTGTATCTCTAGACAACAAATATATATATATATAACAATGATCTGTGGGAAGAAGAAAAAATGTTATCTCGTTTACGTTAATGATTTAAAAACAAATTACTTCGTGATTTTCAATTTCCTTTTTAGTTTTCTTTTTAACCCACAGTGTATAAAATGACATTCAACCAGTATATAATGCGCGCGCTAATGAATTATGGCAAACGTGAAATATACAAAAAAAAAATATAATAATTAGTATATATATATATAATAAAATCTCTCGAATTAGTTGTGTTTCCTAGTTTCATACTTTTTTTTCCATTTTTTCGCTTCATGTTAAACCTCGAACATTAAATAATATATGCGTATGCGTGTTATGTAAACAATCAAACTCCGTAAGTATGATGTTTTTCGTGTACCTGTGAGATGATAAGCATGTGACGTTGGTATCACTGCATGGTGAGGGGCAGACCTGTCGTCCGCGCCCTCTTTAATTCTTCCTCGCTGATTCGCTGCTCGATGAGGTATTGGGCGGTATTGATGGAGTTGGGGGTTCCCGAAATTGTGACAATACGGTTGCGGGTACCGGGAGCGAATATACCCTTCTTCGAGATCTGGATATTCGCACCGCTGATCTGCTGGATCTCCACCAAAGCCCTTCCACCAGGTCCTATTTCGACAATATCAATTAATAAACATGAAAACCTAAACAATGACGCAGAAGGATTCATCGGAATGTATGATAAATTACCTAAAATAGCACCGACGATGATCTCAGCAATCTCAACGTTCTTGGAATCCTTGCTGCCTCCTAGTTCTGCTGGAGTAGGAGATTTACTCAACACAGCCATCTGCTGACCGGTGCCGAGACCGAAGCTGTTGTTGTTGATGGAAATGGGAGCGGTGGCTGGAGAACTTTGATGCCTGAAGGGGTCGAAAGCTGGTTCGTAGCGTTCTAGGGTGGATCTGGGTGTTGGTGAAGTCGTGCCCAAGCAATCGCCAATGTTCAACTGCCCCACGGCCCCAAAGACTCCAGTGTTTGCAGTGCCAGCGTCGGTGGCGTAGGTCAGGTAATTGGGTAAAGCTGCTGTATGCGGTCCGCTCAGGCCAAGACCCATGGCCAAGATGCCGTACTTGGCTAGAACGGAGAGTGCTGCGCATATCTCGACCACCTGGGGCTCTGAGTAACCTGTGGATCTGAGGTGAATCTGCGCATCGTTTTTGAAATAAAGAATATGATTAGTACTCTGTTGCATCTGGAAGGCGTAGGAGGTTATCTGCGAACGTACCTTGATGTTCTCCAAGAGTTGGCTCGTAATCGATCCGACGTTTTGACCGGGCTGGTTCAGGTTGAGGCTCAGGTTTAGGCCGCCGTTCAGCATTATGCTCTGCGACACAGAGCTAAGGCCACTGTTCAGGCTTGCCGTTGACGCGTTGAACGCGCTGCCCGCGTTCTGTTGCGCAAAAGGCGATCCCGTCGGATTGTAATTTGCCACTGGGCCGCTTACGTCAGCATAAGACACGTTCAGGCAGGTACCGCTCTGTGGATCGTCAACCACCTTCGCCAAAATCATCAGGCACGCTTTTTTGTTTGGCTCCTTTTCGCCTAAAACAAATCCATACACAAAAAAATTAAATCATCACCACCAATTTAAACTAAATTAAAGTCAATGCAGATTGCAATGCTCCTTATTTTCAAATAAATCTACTGATAACTTTGAAGTAAATTGACAAAAATAAAAAAAAACTGATCTTCCTATCAACTTTACGCCTTTGCAAAATGAAAATTATAATAAATGTTATTGTTATGATGAAAACCAATGGCAATTTTTTTATTAGGTCGTCAAACTTTAATAAGTAGTAACTACTGTCACTTCTCTATCTAGAACCACTTTCGTTTAATTGAACCAGAACAAATATATTAGTATAAATAATGCACAACTATGTTTAGAAACTAGTTCATTAAAATGATTACAAGGTCTGCAGAACACGTTCCCCGAACTGGAGAATATACACACATTAGCAACAAAATATAAAAGAAAACCCATACTTTATGACACACTACTAGAGAGAGAGGCCAGCGGCGATCATATAAACACATCATCGTAACCACAAGCGAGAGGCAACAGAAAGCAAACTTATTATATCATAACAGAAAAAATTGAATGATTTAATTGAATTTACTAAGTTATGTCGATCTGGTTTCGATGCATAAATGATCGCAACATGCGGATTTCGATCTCCGTTTGAAGAAAATGGAAGAGTTAAGTAATCTATAAAAGTGGGTTTTTTAAAATCGATTCGAGTTTAATGATGTGTGAGTGTATGTGCATGTTCCTCGTCTTCTTTTATAGCTGCTTAACGCTTATTGGAAAAATCAAGTTTAGCAAGCTCGTCGCGGTTAGCCTTGGAGCGCACTCTCGCATAGCGAGAATACCTCTGGAACTGTGTCACGTGAACACATCAGAAAATTTGCTTGTTTTTGAGAGAAGAAAAAAATTAATAGAAATAAAATGAGAAAGCACGTATGTAAACAAATGAATCTAATGATACGTATAACGATGACGCAATCGTTAAAATGCATCCGAGATGCCTCAAGGTCTGTCTGACACGCGCCATTAGAATCTCCAATCCATTAGAACGGGTGGCTCAACCAGCGTACGTAGTGCATTTGTTTTAGTGTTTTTGTTTTGTTCTTTACCTATCACAGTGATGCAACGTTCCTGTAGGCTGACGTCTTTGGCTTTCTGCGAGATCTGCACGTACGACCCGCTCGATTCCTTGATTTGCTTGATGTAGGTTCCCGCCTTCCCTATGATCATGCCAGCAGTCGAATTCGGTACCAGGATTTTCACCTGCTTATCCCTATCTTGGGGCAGCTTGCCGTCGCCCTCCGCCAGCGGAGGTTTACTCAGGTCCGGCTTTTCCCTAATTTTGTCCATGATGAAATCCATCACGGACATTATGGCCTCTACTCCTCCAGTTATCAGACAAACTCTTTCCGTCGTACCTAAAAGAAAACAAAACGAAAATTACAATCAAACATATTTCCAATACACCTAAAAGTCAATAAATAATTTAAATATCTAATTCAATACATTATATTTACAACTTATATAAACAAAAAATAAACTAGTTTGCATAAAGCTGCTGGGATAACCATCTATTTCGAACGTATAATTTTGAGAAGAGGTTAAGGATTCGGATTCGTAGTTTCGATAATTGGCATTCAAGAAATGTTGAAATTCGAAAGAACTATGCAAATTGAAACGCTTTAGTTGTTCGAAAAGCAATCCGAAATTTATGACTTTTCGGAGAAGCGCTCTTTGAAACCGTGAATTCTCCATGGTCTCTCGTTGCATAACAACTCTCTTTCCCCCCATCTGAAACCTCTATCAGCGTTCTCTCCGTGTCTCATCGCGCATTCCCATATATCCTCTTTCCGTTTATTTATTCCTCAGACTTCTTCTTCTCCTATTGATTTATTTTGTTGCCAAGCGATTTCCTAATATTAGAATATTAATGAATCTACCATGTGAAGCACCATTCCAATATTCAATATGCCATTGCGTTCATCAAACTTTGATACAGCAACTAGTTTAACTTTGAACCTTTGAAACATCTCCACAAGTAATTCAAGCAAACACAAATCTAGACATTTCCATTCGGCGACATTTCAAATCTGATTTGCATATCTAAAGAGAAATTTCACTGTTACCAAATAACATGATTAATTTATTTACGGATCAAAAACAAATATATTAAAGATTTGAATAAATCGAAATTTTATGAAAGTCTTATCTTTTAAAGATGTCACAACGATTATTTTCATTTAATTAATTAAAAAAAAATAGAAATCTATTAACGATTTGAAAATTATTATTATATTCAAAGTTTTTTTTTTCTATACTTATATGATAGATATTTTAATAATAGATGAATGTAAACGTTAATTTTTAAAAAACGTTTAGACAAATAAATGAACAATTTATGACTGAACTCAAAATATAACAAAATTATATTTAACATGTCGTGTATTTCTCACGCAGAGCTGAGCAAAAATATACAAAGGTTTTCACTGAAATAAATGCTCCATACAAAATGATTTTAAACTATTTCATACATTTGTTATTCCGGTCAATTATTATCTTGTTTTTACTTCGGAGTAACATGTTTGCACTTTGTGTATTTTATTACATGTAAAAATAGATTACGCCTATAATGGGAGAAAAAAGGTAACGAGTACATGGTATTGAATCGATAAGTGCGTTGGTATAAACGTTCGGACGTCCTCGATACAGTTAGTTTCGAAAATAGAACAATTTAATTTTCAATATTTCCATCTTATCCACAACATAATGCATGGACACACAACCATTGAAACACATTTTTAAATGCCAGACCACTAAAAAAAAATGGTTATACAATACTTCTAATCTCATCCCGTTATCGCCGCTCTCTTATGCATTTATTCCCCGCTAATCGCCGACTTACGTAACCCGAAAATGGAGCGAAGAAATAAAAGAGAAACACAAATGAATAGAAATGGAAAATACGTGTAAGTTGAATAAAAAAAAAATAACCAGTCCCAACATCTCCTCAGTCACTTTTAGTGAAAACACGGCAACCTTGAATAATTAAATTGATACATGTTGCCGTGGTAGGTAAAATCGAAGCCATTATCATATAAAACAAAAAAAACACGTAATTTGCTGCAAGGATTTTCCTTTACAAAACGTAATTGAAACCTTTGATCAACAATACACATTTAAAACAAAAATAAGTCTGGGTCAAAAAGAAAATGGTGTATCTAGTGAATGTACGGACACAAATATATAGATAGGAAAGGTACAACAGCGAATCATTTAAATACAATGCTCGTGTGCCAATCTCATCGGGATAATCGATTTGGTTGCATAATTAAAGAGTCAAATGCTAACCGGACACGTCCTGTGTAAACGGCGTGTTTATACTTTTAAATTTGATATTCGGGATAATCAATTCGACACGCACAATTTACAGGCAACTTCTGTACTCGGATATTCCAACAAAGCTTTTGTTAATAACACAAACGAACGTAGTAATTAAATGTTTTAATTGGACCAAAGATAAAATATAACGATTCATCAAACAAAACGAACAATTGTTGAAAAATACGGTAAAACAATCAATTATACACAATAAGATTGATAAAAAAAAACAAATTATGTAGTTTCAATTACTTATTGTGTTGTGTGTACATTAGTCAGAACTGCGAGTAGAATTGAAATAAAAATTATATTACGTTTTGTTTGTAATAACAATTGATAACAATTTGAAAATACGCAAATCGAAATAAAAATTCAAAAAGTTAGGCAATGCTTTCTGATAAATCAGTTACATTTTTATTTGACAACAGATTAATGGTTTTTATGTTTGAACCATAAAATAGAATTAATAGCAATGAACGGCGATTTGCATTTTAATGGTTTCATTAAATTACGTAAATCGATTTGAAAAGATTATATAAAATTAATATTACATCGTTTCGTTGTAAAAAAACTAGAAAGCATTGAGTATTTCATAACTGCATATAAATCAGTTGTTAATAATTAAGAGAAATTTAATGGTCTTTAGCAAATGCAATATTGTTTCAATTCTCCGGTACAAACTGTATAAATACAATAATAATGTGCAAAGGTTCATTTTATTTGATATATTGTAATTCATACACTGTTTAATATTTAGTAATTCAGAGTAATACAACGGTTATGTGATTTGCATATTAAATTATTTCCTTGTCATTCAGAAAGTATTAAATAAAGTGTATTAAGTCTTTTAAACGTGCTAATAACAATAAAAAAGCAACTGAATTGTATCTATAGCAACTATATCTAAGCAATTATGTAAGAGAGTAAAGCATCAATAAACAAGAGCATGATGAGGTCAAATGGAAACACGCGTTTATAATAACTAGTGTCGACAAAATTCTTGTTGATTATTTTTTAATTCATTAACTGGAAAACTTTGTCAAAGTTTCATGGTAATAATAACGAATATAAATTTAAAAAAATATATATATGTGGGATTAAGTAGGGCGGAAGTAAAAATAAACTTCAGAGATTCACGAAAGCAGCGAAGGTAATCCGCGTCGATAAAAGTAAAGCTGCGATGAGAGCGTGGATAAGTATGTCCTCTCTTCTTCTACATTTTCACAATCCGCCCTTTATTCTTCGTGTATTTATTTACTCGCCCGAGGAAAGAAAAATACGCGTATCTCCCCCTATTCACAGAACGTGTCGTTGAAATTGAACGCGAAAGCAATTAACAAACAAAGCAAAAAAAAAATATAAAAAAAAAGTACAAAAGAAAGGAAAAGGGTGACCAGCAGCGGCGTAAAAAGCGTGACGTTGGCAGCAGGAAAAAGATTGCTATAAATGAATTATGTAACCGAGCAGCGGTGGTGCTTCTAAGGACATGTAATTGATCGCATTGTAAGCACTAATTGCCGATGTAGAACTTTTCGACATGAATTGATTCCCTACGGGTTGCTGAGGGCGTTCGAAATCGAATTAAGGTATTGATAGCTACAGATAGAAAAAAAAAAAGCAAACAACAAAAATCTGAGCGTTGCAAACTAATAGGGGGCGTAGTTTGCATTGTATAGCAATTAGAGGCTATATTAATTAATTCCAGTAATAATTTGATACACCAGCGGCTGTAATCTGCATACGCTAGAGACGCCGGAGCCAAAAGGGCCTTTGGGAGTTGGCCGCTCGTCGCCTAATTAAAAATGGATAATCATCGATTCTGCACGGTAACCTTTCAACTGGATAGGATCAGATTCATACGAGCAAAAATAAACACCTGTCTGCAGCTTATCACCATCATTCAACAACGAGGAAAAGGAGACAGTTTGCTTCATAACAAATTAAAATCTTCAGTTCATCTGAAGAAGACCGAAAGGTTTTATTTTATACTCTCATAAACTCAAGACGATAATCGTAAAAAGTCACTAAGTCGAGCGACCAAAAATGCTTTGCCGAGAATAAATAAATTCTAGTTACATGGAATACTATCAATTAAAATAGTTTACAGTTCAACATAAAATATTTAGTACAACTTTGTACTAATTCCTGATACTCTGCACAAAATTAAACTTATGCCACAAAAGTTATCAAATTATTATCAAACTATAAATAGGAAAATGTATGAAATTTAACGTTCAAATTTACCACTGAGTTATTATGAAACTTTGAGGTTCAAGTGCAAATTTTACGCGGATGCGCAAGGAAATGTACTTAGCGAGGGCGCGCGCAAACTCTCATCTCATCTCATTAAATTACTAATCAAGTTAAGTGAGTTCCATATAACGTTTGAAATTTGATCGGTCCCGGAGGTCTGTAACGCACGGACACCAAGTGAGAGAAGGAGCTTTTACTTTGATGATTAACCAAGCTATTACAAAATCCATCCATCCTACGATGATAATAATAGCTAAGGGGCCATCGCATCCTCCTCCCTACGGTTACACAACGATGGCTATATCCCTCCAATTAATTCTATTTACGTGTCAGTCATTAAGTTGGATACTTCTTTTTATCAAGCATGCTAACACTCGATTAAAGAATGTTTCGTAAGCGATTGCGGTCGAGGTTATCACTCTTCGTGTCCATCTATTTTCACGTGTAATACAATAATTCTCTGATCAATACGTTCGTTGTTCGAAATTATCGATCGATAACCGTAACTAGAGCGAATTAAGAGTGCTGGTGACACCTGTCCAACTGTAAACAAAGGAGTGACATTGAAAGAATCGTGGGTGTGGTTGCGGTGGAGATGATCCTTCGATTGGTCGGTAATAACATTCATTAGAAAACTATTGTACATTATTGATTTCCAATAGCGTTATTACATTGCTCGGTTGGAAAACAAAATGAATAAATCAAGCTGCTGCGGAGTGCAGTGGGTCAAGGTGGACAACATAAGCTAGGATAAATTGAAAATTTCTTGCATATTTCTAGGGAACAACACAACTCACACGACTATCGAACGTTAAATATTATTTACTCTCGTGAAAGAGAATCCATCCGTGCAAATCGTACAGATTGTGAATCGTTCTCGCTAAATTATTTACTTGGCGCAAGACGTATTACCGGCAAGGAAAATTGCCTTCACAATTCCATGCATCTTTCAATGGATCTCCAACAATACTGAAAGCTTCATCTCGGGCGGACATGAAATATAGGAAGCGCAGGAAGCGACGAGGAAACGGAACCAATATTGCAAAGGGCCGCACTAAATCCCCGGATTTTCCTACCAATCTTTTCTTTTCGAAATTTACGTTCCCTCTATTCAAACGTTGAATACTAAACGGATATCTGTTTCAGAATAACTTCTGTATTTGCTTGTACGTTCTCTAGTTTGAAAACTAGAGAACGTATTTAAAAATAAATGTTTATACAATTATAACTAATTTAATATTGTAAGAATTTTAAATTAAAATATTAAAAAAACATATTGAAATATTACGTGTTTACATAAAATTTTTTAGCAATGTCAAAAGTGATTTATATAATTTTTTTCGCGGGATTCGCTGAATGAAAATTTTCGAGGCGTTTTGCCAAAAAAAAAAAATCCGAAAGCAGAAGTAAACTAAAATAAACAAAAACGCGGGACAAAAGAAAAAAATAGCATTCCCAACTATATTTAAAACTGATCGTTTACCTTCGCTACCAGCATTAGGTAACAAACAGTTAACTAACATGTTTTTGATAGATCGTTGCAATAACTTACCCGGATAAAAGTCGAGCGATTTCGACATCTTAACCCTAGCCCCGGTATCCTTCTGCAGTTGTGCGATAGTTTCACCCCCTTTGCCGATGATTGCCCCAGCCGCAATGCTGGGCACCAGCACTTTGAAGTGGTATGTTCCATCACCACCTGCAAAACAAGAAACAAAAAATGTATTAATTCACATATAAATTGCAAGCAACTTTTAAATATTGATAGATCTTTAGTTCTCCAATCAATAGTTTTGTAGATATATATGGATGATATTGTTACATAATAAGAACTAATGATAAATAAATTTAGTTAAATTCTAAACTTTTATTTAATAGATGTTTAGTTCTCCAATTAATTGTAATTGAGATAATGGAAGTGTTACATAATAGAAACTAGAAATGTATTCGATATAAATAAGATCTAAGTAACATTAAAATATTGATAGGTCTTCAGCTTTAGAACTTCCCAATCGATAATCATTTAGGTCGTACGTGGAATTGTTACATAGTTCTGTTGCAATCGATTCTGAATGAAACTAAATGCAATACTGTGCTTATGAACAACCAATTAGGGCGGAATGCTTTTAGATACGCAACGTAATGTAATGTTAATTAAATGATAATAAATAGCGTCTAATTAGTAGCGGTCCAAAATCACGGGGACGAAATTAATGTGCGGCTAATTGCGCCATCTATACCATCCGACCGCCACTATCTGCGAAAGCGACACGCAGCGTTATTGCGTAATAATCCAAATTAATAGGTCGACGTTAATTTTAATCCAGATCCGTTAATGGATGACGTGGAGGATAGAGGATGCACGTAGTTTAGTTACGAAATGCATAACGAGTTCGGCTCCGTTCTGGAAATTTGGGGTAATGCCGTTGTTTACATCGAAAACTGCGGCTCCGCTCGGACACCACACCTCCCCTCTATCGTCCGCCGCCCCCGCGTGCCCTAAATAGGACGCAGGGAAAGCCCCCCCTGAAAAACTAGCTCACGAGAAACCGTGAATCAATACTCCGAAAACCCGGAGGCAAGATGTAGGGAAACGCGAGAACCCGAAATCTCTCATAATCCGGCGAGTCCTCCCTGGTCGCAGCATTTGGGAAGGAAGGAAGTGCAAGAGGCGGAAGTAGGTGACCCAGATAGACAGAGAAAGAGATCGTACACTTCGTAAAGTATTAACATGTGCGTCAGCTCTTTTTTTGTAGCGCGGAGAACAAAAATTGTCAGTGGGCTTAGATAATGCCCGGTTGATGAGCGTCGCCTTGGATAGGGATGAGTTTTCCGCTGTGGATGGCGCGTTTTTGCTGCAGCTGCGCGCGTGTTGCAAAGGCATGTGGATGTAGCCTAGACCTAGTGAAACACATACAAAACCCGATCCAGAATGGAACTGGGTGTGCGCAGCTCGAGCGTTCCAAATATCCGCAGCATCAACATCAGCGTCAGCAGCATCACCATCAGAACTACGCCACTATTGACTCCGTAAATTATACTTCAAACAAACCAGAAACTACTCCCTTTTTTTTTACTATCTACTGCATATTCATCACATCCATTACCTTTACAAACACATACATATTCCCTAAATCAGACTATAATAAACATTTCGGTTTTATCGTATTCTACATAAGTTTAAAAAGAAATGACAATTTATACTCAATTCTAAACAAGCAAGAAATTTCAATAAACAATTTATATTTTTCTCATTACTGAATTTAGAAAAAAAATAATCTTTAGCATAATTTAACAATTTCCTCATTACCAAAGATATTCAGTAAATTCTAAATTACGAAATTAGTTTGAAGAAAGGACAAATTTCAAAATATCCTTAATGCGACGAAGAGATACGAAAAGGTTATGAAACTGAAATGAGAACTGAGAGAAAGGTGTTTACTTTATATGCATTATTATGAAGACAGCGGTACCTTTAAAAAAACGATATAAAGAGAGTGTCTTTTTAATTTTATACCATATGTTTCTTAATAGGCATCAAAATAAACATATATCAAAGTTCAAATGATGAAAATAAAAAAATAAAAAACAGATGCATCGCTATATTTTTAAGTTAGCACACAGATGTAACAGCTGGATTTTCCGTCGTCGGGCGCTGATAATCTGCACGTAACATATTTCTGTATTTATATAAAAACAAGAGAGATGATGACGGCGTTACGTAACCACCCATCCTGGACCGGCAGCGACATCTATATTTAAATCGCCTCAACTGGGTCAATTAAATTATGCCGTTTGCATTGAATTATGGCTATTCCCATCTTCGGGTTAACGCGCCATTGAAATCCGCAACGAGTATTCCTGCTCCAATGAGATGCAAATTGTGTAAATTTGTATCAATCCCATTGTTCCAACGATCAATTAACAGAGATAGTGGAAACAACAACATAATAGTATTCTACAAAGATGGTGTGTTTAGGTAATGTTTGCAATTATGTATTTTAAATAATACGGTTAGGAGTTAAATCATGGTGACTGTCAAAGTTATAAATACTGCCGGTATATGTTTTGACACATCCGTGAATAAACTTGTTTCTATTTGGCATTGAGCGGCAGAGGTCTAAAAATAAAAGCGCGAGTTCGCAGAGCAACAAAGTTTCGCAGCGGCGCGACCCGTCAGGATGGAGATGACGTAACGGCAGCGGCCGCGCAAATTGCATTTAACAAGAGGATCCGAACGTACGCCGCCGCTACAGCCGCCTCCGAACTTCGTACTTGAACTTGAACTGAATCAAACAATGGGAATGAATGGCAAAAGTACGTCGATCGAGAGCGAAAACGCTGCCGCCGATAATAACAATCCATACGAAACGAGCAACAATGGCTTTTTGCACTTTTACTTTCTAACGCTTAAGAAAACATCGGGTCTTAGGCATCTCGCTCTTGCATCATTTCGGGCGAGAGTGAAAGAGAGCCACACGAAAATGAAACGAAAACGTGAACGCATAAGCGGACACGCAAAGAGAAACTAGTTCAAGAACGCTCTCTCGTAACTTCAAGTACGCTCGGCCCAGAAATTGAAAACAAACCCGGCTTACTTACTACTTACGTAAGCGCGATTATGCGCACGGCGGTTGTCAGCTTGTCCGCATTATGCGCAGCATGCACGCAAAGTATCTGCAAGTTTATACATTTGGCGAGGACAAGTGTTTCCTCTATGATGATTCAATTGTGAGTAAATTACAGTCATCCATTACGTACAGCAAATTGATCACTTTCACGGCCCATCCGAGCGGAAGGAACAACTGTAGCGCGAATTACACACAAATTAATTGCAGTAACTAGTTTTCTATAATCCCGTCTTCAAACTACAATCCATTTAAACCCAATTCGTATACAGTTTATAATTCCTCGCTAATAATTAACGTGTTCACCAATATACAACCAATAATTAAGTGCTTAAATATAATAACTTGAGACATTGCACACCATTCAAATTATTTGTAATTACATCATATTAACCACGTCAACCTAAACATAGCATTTATTCACCATACAACACTCTTTATTAATTATTATTCATCAATATAAAATCACATTAGTTACAAAAATAAAGTTACGAATAAATATGAAACAATATCCTTTAATTAAATTTATCAATCGTTCATTATTATTTGTATTCATCAGATTTATAATATAACGCGAAGGCCGCACCTAACGAGGCCAAAAATTATATAATAATTATTTATGCTCCGGTCGGCGAGTTTTTTTTTTATTGTTGTATGTTGTTGAAATATTACGGCGGCTTAGTTTCTGCCTCTATATTATCAATTAGTATTCCATATGAATTATGCATAATGGTTCTCATTTTTTTACATTCTTGCGCAGTTGATAATATTTTTAACCACATGCATATAATTATTAATTCCAGAAATGCCATTCAATAAACGTTAGATATTCGCAAATATTAATGAATTAATCATATTAATATTTGATTAGCAATGAAATTCATAATCCATTTAAATAAAAAATGTAGCAATGATAGTCTGAACAGTTTAAAGTGGAAAAGTGGAAAAAAAGACGATGCTTAGAAAAAATATAGAAATTATTTCAATGCTTGAAATTGTAGAAAAATAAAACTAATGAAGTATAATTAGTCTTGAATAACAGCAAAAATGTTTAAGCAAATAATAGTATACTAATATTATGTAATTTTAGAAATACAAAATAAAATTTATATAAATGTTAAAATTCAATTTATCTCTAATAAATCGAATAAAACTGTTTTTCTAAATATAAAATAAAGTTTATAATGGAGGTAAAATAGTATAAATCTATGGCATCCGGAATATCAAAAATAATAGCTGAATTGTTCCGGTTCCGCCGGATGTTTCAACGATAAACCAAATAAAATAATAATAGATTTAAGTTGACCAAAACCGTTTGCAGAATCCGCATTACGTTGAGACTAAACCAATAAAATTCAATTTGTTCAAGCAGAGACGACGCAATATTTTTCGATTCTCGATTACAAAATATACTCAAAACGCATAAAAAAAAATGCATGGACTAAATTGGATTTAAAAAGTATATAAATAAACGGCGTTTAACAACTGCATTTCGACAGGTCGCGTAATTGCGAAGCAAACGAAATTGCACGAAAAATTTCTCTTTCTGCGGCGGAAATGTGTCTCCATTTCCTTCATCCCTGAAAAGCCCGTGCGCCCTACATATTTCCCCGGTGCGATCGTTTAACCGCCTCCGCCCCTCAGAGTCTCCCCCTCCCAATTAAATATTAATATCGGTGTGGGAAATGTTACATGTGCGCATCTGTGAAATGAAAATATATTCCGAGACACGAAATTAAAAAAAAAACAAAATGCGGGAAATTCAAATTAGTTGAATCTTTATGCCCTCAGTTTTTTTGTTGTTGATATTATTACTTCGCTTTGGCGCAATTTCCCAATGGTGCAACAATAACCATAGGAACGTAATTACATTAATTGCACAATCTGAATTACAAATGTAGAAAGGAAAAAATATAATTTTCCTAGCTTCGGTTATTCAAGACATTGTCTTAAGCTATTTATTTCTTTCGAATGTTTTTATATTTGTTTGACGATACATTGGATAAGCGTTTAGATGACGCAATTGTTAATTGGACAAGCTTTGTTGTCCATCATCGGAGAGATAATGGTG